ACCCTAATGCTCATATTACAATTGCTGCCTGCCTTGTCGGAGCCCATGCTGTTTTGTACACCCGAGGGGGCAAATATAGCACCTGAGGTGAATGGACCCCAGTGCAGCTGGCAGGAATTGTTTAGTTATACCACGGTTATAGATTTTTATGATTGCAAGGTAATCACTGAAATTGTCTTCACCGACAAAAGTGTAAAATTTAGTTGAACAAATAAACAAAATTAAATTTGTTGTTGGGGAATATTATCTGGTTTTTTGACACTTGAAATGAAATGTTCCAGACAGCTATCTTATTCTCTTCTGGGTTGTATGTCTGAAACCGTGTGGTCTACCCAGTCATGCCTGTGGCAGTGCAGAATTTGGAACTGCCATACACAAGCACAGAATGCTTTTGGGATGAGAGAAAAACCTCCTCATAAAAACCAGTGAAATTACAGCATAATTGGCCCTGTTAATAACACAAACGATGTGACAAAATGGAAGTCATAGCAGAAATAGTGCCTCACTGTTCCCAAGAGCACATGCCATGTAAATGAACCAATGTAGTACCAGCGCGGCTGCACAACCTTGTACCCAAGGTGGGTGGAAACAATACTTCCAACCATAGGAAAGATCAAGGTGCTGTTAATGTACCCATGAGGTACACCACTCATGTACATGTGCCATGACAAACTTTGCTCATATTCTCGCAATCCAGAACATGTGCGTTTGTGATGTATCACGTGATCCAATCTCGACCACTAAACAATTTGCAATCTGTTACCATGGTATTACAAGCGATCTTTTTCAAACCATACACTGTTCCATAGAGAAGTGGCACACACGTGTACATGTAGCTTCACCCAGCTGAATATGTACATGTATCAAAGATGTCTGTCTTTCCATGTAAATTATAACTCTCATTCGACCACCATGTAACTTTTAAACATGTTAAATGCCTTTCCAAACATTTATGTGCCGGTTCATCGTACTGTGTGCACATTTATTTCTTGTTCACAGAAATGCAATAAATTCATGTGCAGGTACTGCAATCCAGTGTAATGAAGCATCAATCAAACATATCAATGTCGTTAAATTTTGAGGTTTTTTTTTTCCAATTTATTGTTTTCCCACGTCCTAATTTACATGCTGTTCAGTGCAATCCAAAACATTTGAACTTTGTTAATGGAAAAGGAATTTATTTACACTCACGCTTTTTTTCTTGAGTAATCCACTCACTTTTAGGATGGGGGGGGGATTGAGACAAAAATTGATCACTTTTAATGGAATTGCCCATAAATTAGTTAGGCCTTTCTGATGGCCAAAAGCATAACGGTTGAGCACCTTGGTGTTTTTTCTAGCAGAATGGTGTCGGGAAAGAAATCTCAGAAGAGAAGAAAGAAAGTTGCCATTTCTTTTTTACTCGGTTTCCTGCCCTTGGAAATGGTGATGACAAATTATGTAAGGCCCACCTTGGCCTTTACCCCTGGTATTGTCTGTCGCCTGTTGCACAATACAATGACTGATGGGTCGGAAACCATCTTGTCTTTGCCTGTCTGGGCCTGTCACTCTAGATCAGGAAACCCATCCATATTTTCAGATGTTCTCCACCCTGAACCCTGGGAATCACAGAAAAACAACCACTTTGTCACTTTTGTCCCGCGGCGCTATTGGCTTGCCTAAGTCTTTTTTTTTTGTACAATTCCGTAATGTCTCCTCGCACGTATGTTAGCAGGTTTCTGGATATGGACATGAATGCCATAGCAAGTCCTTTTTTAAATGCAGGTACATGTGCATGCATGTACCACAGTGTTATTCTTGGAGTTCTGCACATTTTAAGGGGGAGAGGAGGAAAGATTGGCGTTTTACCTTAGTCAAGAGTTGGCCATCTTGAATTGATAGCAAGGTGAACCCTGGGTGCATTTTCTGAAAACTGAAGATGTATGGGAACGAAGATAATGCATGCAGGGTGCAGGGACCAATGACAGATTACCAGCCTCTTGCTTTGATGGGTACATAATTTAGTTCCATGTATTGTCTTTTGCCCAAAGGATTTTTTTCCAAAGTGAGGCGAAACCTGTAATTTTAGGCACCTTCGCATTAATCAATATGTAAAATGGATTCAGGGAGCATGGTCAGAAAATGGCCACCTCATGAATAAGACCCATGGATAATCCTTCCCAGTTCCCACATATCTATTGTCACCTCCCCCCACTCTGTATCCCACCCCAACCACCTTACCCCCTACCTCCCACCCCAAACCAAACCACCCCACCCCTTTCCCTAAACTATGCCATCTTATGTTTCCCCCACTGTCTCTCTGATACCCCCAATACTAACCACAGTCTGGTAACGCATTATTGAATAAGTGGAGCAAGACGGGGAGCAAGACGTATTGCACAACTGGAGAGCCCTTCATGTCTTGTATATTCAGAGTGCCAAGGCCTTCCCTGACATATTCTGTTCCCATTCAGCCATTAATCCTTTGAGAGAAAAACCGCAAAAAGGAAGAATCCCTGATTTGCGTGTATACGTACGTGCTGCTTCCCTGCACACATACCTTAGGAAATTGATTTTTGGATTGAGCACACCGATCCTCGTAATACTCCAGGTTAGACTGAAAAGGGAGACCAGAGTTGGAAGATAGCCAAAGTACACACACACTGCTGCCCAGCCAACCCCCCAACCGCAGCCAAACAGGATTTGACCCCCCATACGAATACATGCCTATTAGCCCATCACCTTGCCCACTTCAAATTGGAACATGAATTGAAAATTAAAACATCTCCTCTCTCTTTTCTTCCCTTTTCCTCTCCAGATAAAGTCCTGTTCTGAAGTTGTTGTCATTTCCCCTCAGCCCCCCTTTTTTTGGTCAGCAATTAATTCCGTAATTCCGCAGTCTAATGCATCCATTCCTGGGCTTGAAGCCAACATGAGTAATTTTCTGCTTCCTTTTGTGGTCAGTCGGGGGAAAACAGACAAATTCATCTTTTTCGAGAGGAGGGGATTGCTGTCTCTGCGATCTTGACAGTGACATTGTCAGATGACAGGGGACGCTGCACTGCACGCAGGCCTGATTTATTTTGGGAGAAATTTGGTTGGGGGGCAGCCTGGCAGTGGTTGTAGGAAGACTCCACCAAGATGGTTCTGATTGATGGAACGGAAACGGAGCACATCAATCAGAGAGGACCGTTCAGAGCCAGCCCTAGGCAAAGTGTATTGTGGGTGTGTTCCTTGGGATCCGCCTAGTGCTAATGAACCCCCTCATCTGTTGAAAAGAGCGATGTTGGAAGGGACTGTTCATTTTGTTGGTAGTGATGCATGCATTTTATAGTCATTCAGGAACCTGCAAAGTGCAGTTCCCACCAAAGCAGCCCCCGTTGCTGGGCAAAATTGCGCCCTCTCTTGGTCTGGCTCGGGGCTTACAGTCTTCATATTGTTAATGTGTGAGGTCTTCTCATTTAAAAAGCTGTTGACTATTCTTGATGCACCCACAGAGTGTAGTTGGTTTTAATAGGTTAGTTTGTTCAGTATGGTAATTCTCTCCTCGCATCTAGCCAGCTCTTTGATGCCCTGGTTCCAAGCGCACAGGGGGAGATGACTCAAGGTCAGACTTGTCCCGTCGGCATTCTCTCAGTTGAAGGTCTTGAAAGTATTCCTCAATATTCTAGTCTTTGGCATGGATATCCACACAGCAAGTTGCTGTGATGGGAGTGTAATGGCTCACTTTCATTCATTTCCCATTGTTCCTTTACCAACCTCATTAAGAGTCATTGTCAGCAAAGTTTATAGTAATACTGTGAAAAAAAGTCAAATGTGACTCAAAAATAGTGGTAGAGGTGGTACATTTGTGATGGACTGGCATCAGTGGGCTGTTCTGCTACAGGTATTATCCTGGTAAAAGTATCACACAATGCCACTTTTCATGCATGTCAAAGTGTCACTCTGTTATCGTGGAATTGCCCATAAAGAAGTTCGGGGGGGCACAGGATCAGGAATCACGTATTCAAACATTTTGATTGGGCGAAAGGAAGTATCTCTCTCTTGCCTCAAGGTTAGGGATGTCAAGATTAATTTTACTGTCTACTGTTGGAGGCAGGATAATGAGGAAGTACATTTTTCCGCTTGGCACATTTTTGTAATCCCGAATTGGGTTATAGAGATATTCAAATGAGATTAGGGCTACCTTTATCCGGAAGGTGGAATCAGTTGGCTCAGGGAACGATAGAAAAAAATGTCTTCATTTGAGATGTCGGAAAAGACTTTCACAGAAGGTTTTCCAGGACGGAGGTAGTCATCTTGTCACAGGAGAGCTTTGTTTTATCTTGTTTTGCAGTGAAGGTATTTCCAAGGTGCTTGTCAGAGCCTGTAGTTCTGATCCTCGGTAATCTTAAACATATTTCTGATTATTCTGTATCCAAAAATGTCACAGAAAAAAGAAACAATTGCTGTGGCAAGCATGGTGGTCGAGTGGTTAAGACTTCAGCTCTAGTTAGCAGGAGGTTGTGCGTTTGAGTCCCACTTGAGTAAGCTTGTGAATTTTTCAAGACAGGTGTTGTGTGTTTGATATTTTAAACTTATTTTGCTATAAAAAATGGACTCATGCCTCTCTACTGTTCGTTTTTGATAAAAAAAAAGGAGCAGCAGCATTCTTTTGAAAGTACCGGTATTAAACATGATTCTCATCATTTAAAATTCAGTGATTAGGTACCAGACAAGAAGTGACTTCATACTTGGTCGTGAAACGAAAAGCAAATGCCATTTTGTGGAATAACAGCAAAGAATTCTTGGCAAACTGTGCAAGGGTGCAGCAACTCATTTCCACCTTTGAGAGTTTTGCAGTGAATACTGTTTGATGTCACGTTCGTGCCTGCCTTCGCTCCGGCGCCAAGCATGAACCGGCCCAGATGTATCAGATGCATTGAATCCAGGGAAGGAGATAATCCCTTCCTGCCCTTCTGTATTAATAAAATTCTCGTCCGTCATTCTCATGCCGGCTTTGTCCTCCTCTTCTTCCCTAGGGCTTCTTCCGACGCAGCATACAGAAGAAGATCGACTACAAGTGCCACTTTTCGGGCAACTGCGCCATCGAACGGATCAACCGCAACCGCTGCCAACACTGTCGCTTCAAGAAATGCCTAGCAGTGGGCATGTCCAAGGAATGTGAGTGTCAACCTCGTTCCCGTGATGGGTGAACAGTATGCCCCTCCTCCCCACAGCTACCTCCTCTACCACCGTGGCATCGGATCATTTTTTCAAGATCAACCATTTTGCACATGTACCTCAATTAGGAATAGTCTGGTGCCTGGCTGTGAGATTGATGCATTTTGGTTGTGAGGTACCAAAAAAAAAAAGCATGGCTCCTTAAGCGTTTGAAACTTGAGATTAAACCTATGATACGCCAGTCGACTGAGTTTTTGAGAGGAGTTTTACCCTTGACACAAAACAGTTCCTTATATGTACTCCTTTGCTTGGGAGGGACGGTACTGTTTGCTCGTGTATGTGTAATGAGGATGTGATGTTTTCAAGTTTAAACGTAAAAAAAAAAGAATCAATCTGTTTGCAAAGTTTGCCCGAACACTCAGCCAGGTAACATCAGATTTTCTTACCTGAAAAAGCTGACGGGGGAGATTTGTTCCCCTCAAATTCTTTTGAAATTGCTATTATTTATGACGCAACCAAGCACGACACGTTAATATGTCAACTGCAGAAATGATAAAAGAAGTCTTAAACGAGTGTACATGTCCTCTGTGGCCAAAAATAAGGAAACTTGTGTGTGTTTACATGTCATCTGGCGTCAAGTGGTGAGATGGAACCCATTTCACTTTGTTTTTCCAACGAATTTTAAATTTCATGTTGTGTCAAGTACCCATGAATTTTCAACATCGCATTGCCCAAAAAACCCCAGAATTACCTGAACCAATGAATCTAATCTATCTCCTTGGGAAAAGCCTTTGCAGAAAGTGATTGACAGTTTTTATTGTTCCAGTGAACACAAGGTATCTCTTGAGTATCACAAAGTAGCTATGTGGGTTTTAGCCTCAGGTCTCAGGTCTTTGGAGATGCCTTCTGGTTTGCAAAAGGTTAGTTGTCAGCCAGCTGTGATGACAATCATCACATTGAACGAGTTGACTCATTTCATTGATACATCTCACTGACAATGTACATTATTTGTAAACTATATAAACTTCAAGGTAGGCTCCGACAGTCTTAAAGCTACCTGCTTAAATGGTGCATTCAAGTTTTGCTAAGTTTTTATCCATGTAGACGTAAATTCCCACCCCTGGCATGTACGTGTATGCCGAAACCAGTATATTGACATTTTGTGCAACGTTTCACGAAGGTTTTACTCACGGTATGGCAGAATACGCGGACTTGGAAAGCAGGAACCCAACTCTACATTGCGACCTCGCCGCCAACCCTCCTGTGTTGTTTTTGCTCCTCCAGATGGTTTGGTCATATTGACTGGAGGAAGGAAGACTTAAAGAGACTTTCTTGACCCTGTATTCCACTGGATGCTCTGCATTGCTGCAGTCGAATGGATGCACACATTGCGGCTTTCTCTCACTCGCAGCTGATTTTCATGTCCCTGAATTTTAGCACATTCAATTACACGAGAAGAAAAACCCAAAGATAGAAGTCTTGTCATTTGTTCTATCATTAAAGGCCTACAAGTGGGGAAAAAATTGTTTACTTCGGTAAAAAAAAAAAGTTGTAGAGGTGGAGTACTGGCGGTGGAAAGGTTTTCAAGGGGGAGGGAGTTCTGTTGCCATTAGGCCATATAGCCCTGCCACATTGTAGAAGAAGAAATGTTCCATTTGAGAGATAAGAGAAAAAACTGAGGTCAGATTTATCTAAGGAAATGCCATAGAATCAGATAGGGACTGAAAGCTGAAATTCACCTGCTGGCCAGGGAGGGATTCGAACCTGGGTTGCATGGGTGCAGGGCAATAAGTACTGGACTACCATGCCAATCCTACAGGGCAGGGGAGAGTTTTGAAAATGAAAGAGAAAATTCATAACGAAATGTTAGTTTATCCTCTCGTTTGACCAAATTGCTCTGCCCACATTCTGTCGCTCTCCTCACAGCCGTCAGGATAGGGCGTTACTCCAAGCGGGTCAAGCAGAGCAACATGGACGAGATCAAGCGGCTGACCAGCAAGCCTGAGACGCCGGCGGAGCGGGAGGCGCGGGAGCGACACGAGATGGAGGTGTACACACTGTCACAGGCCGTGCTGCAGGCGCACAGCATGACCTGCGAGTACACCAAGGAGAAAGTGGAGGCGCTGCTGCAGCAGCGCGACAGCATCCTGGTGAGGGTCCGCCGTCTGGGCTTGCTATCTTGAGGAGGAGAGGGCAGGGAATGTGCCCCACCCTCCCACCGGACAAAAAAGAAAAACAATTCATAGAGAAAAATCCTCCAAAATGGAAATGGAATGAAAAAATAATTTGCTTGAAAATGCCTCCGAATTAACCCCCTTCCACAGTAAATGGTACGGCAGTTTGCTGTTGAAAGTTGCTTTGCTCGCCCCTTCTCCCTTCTGTGGGAAACAAACAATCCAGGTGACTCCCATGCCAGATTTGTAATTCTGGCATTCACATTCTGCATGGTTCAATGTTCAAGCCATCTCCTTGCTGCTTAAAATGATGATTACCATTAAAAAGCTCTTCCTTAATTTTCAGAAAAATTCCAAAATATCAAAAAGACTATCCTTGTCTGTTGACATAAACACTGTTTGTTTCGGCTGTCAGATGAGGCTGAATGCTGGTGAGGACATGAACATTCCCCCGACGGTGGACTACAGCAAGTGGAAGCCGGAGGAACGGTCCAGTAGCAAGGTGTTTGCCTGGAAGGTCTTCTGCGAGGCCATCATGCCTTGCACCCAGCGCGTGGTGGAGTTTGCCAAGTGTCTACCGGGATTCCTCACGTTACACCAGGTACGCTTTAACTCAAGAAAGCCAGCTCATGAACACACTGTATTACACGTATATTTCTTGTGATAAAGTTTCACTTAAGTTAGGATGATCAGGCACACAGTTTGAAACATTCGACCTCTCACACATTTGCTCTCTTTGGAGCAAACTCCTTTTTTTTGCAATGGAGATGTTTCCATGGTGTACCTGCAAACGTATTTCCCTGGTATACATGTATCTCTCCACCAACTTCAAACAGATCTTGAAGTCTCAGTTCTGATCCATGGGTCAAAGTTTTTGAACAAGACATCTCAATCACAGAGCCAGTGCCACATCAAATTTACCGGACCGGATTTACTGGGTCTTGAGACACATGTCGCAAAATTGGCAGAGTAACAAAAGTGATTACAACCCAACCTATGCATGCACTGTCTTGAAAGTCACGTAATACACTTGCTTTGCCATGTCCCCGAAACGGAAATTAAGCTTACAAATTTTTTTTAGCAAATTGTTTAGAAATAATTCGCATGTAGATGTGTTACAAAAAACATACTGGGCTTTTACTAGTCTTGATGCTGCAAGACCAAGATTAAATCACTGGCCTCCGTTCACCAGTCCAGTGGGTATTATGAACCCTGGTTTGGGTGTTGTGTAGAAGTTTCTGACGAGCACTTGGCAACACAAACATTGACCATTTTTTGTTTCCAGTGTTTAAGCTTTAAGCTTTGCAAAGACAGTGTCAAAACTCTTGCGGCATGTAAACCAGTGTGCTTCATACGTGTGCAAAATCTTCCAGAGTACTGGAGTGATTGACCCAAAGTTGTCCTGCATTAATCTGCAGGTGCTGAATTTCAAAACTGTTGGGCTTCCCCAGTGATGTTCAGTATTTTTCAGGCTTCAGCTTTATGTGAAGTGACTTGGGTTTTCTGTCTTTCATGAAATTGTGCAATATGGGTGATTCACAGTAGTGTGCCTCCAAGAGTTTGCAACGCGTTGGCCAATCACAATTTGCATAATCTGTCAACCCTTTCCAAACGCGCATTGGGTCAACAGATTTTGCGCGTTATGATTGGCCCGTGCGTTGCAAACTCTTGGAAGTGCACTATTGTGAATTTGTGCGATACGAATTCCTTGCAGGTTGATCGCCAAATAATTTTACCCTGAGAATTGTCTTCCCAACAAACCAGCTTCACCATCGAGATTATTTATTGTCAAAAACATCATTTAAAAGATGTATCAGCCAAGTTTGTTAAAAATAAGGAAAAACACCACAAATACTCACTCTTGGGAGTCTTTCTTGTCAAAATGTGTGCTGGCCCCTGCTGGAGAGTAATATCTTCTATATCGACAACATCTCTGTGTGCCATCGGAAAAGCTTGAAAGGCTTAATGGATATAAACCAGCATATTTCGCCTGCTAATACAACTAGTCATCGCCTGGCCATGTTAAAATGTTGTCTGGGATACTGCCATAGAAAGTTGTGGATTTCATAATTAGTGAATGAAAAAGAAAATCTACAAACATGACCTCTGACCTTTGACACCACTCCCTCCCCCTGCCTTTCCCAGGAGGACCAGATGACCCTCCTCAAGCAGGGCTTCTTTGAGGTCTGGATGATCTACCTGGCGCCCGTCATGCTGACCGAGGAGCGGGTCATCCTGCTGGGGGGCGACAGCCTCTTCAGCCGCGACTTCCTGGCCAAGATGGAGACGCCGGACCTGTGGCGGCACATCTTTGAGTTTGCGGCCGGCATGCATCAGCTGCAGCTGAGTGACATGGAGACGGCGCTGTTTGCCGCCATCACCATCATGAGCAGTGGTGAGTGATGCACCACCCTTCACTCCCCCCCCACAAAAAAAGAATCCTCGATCAAGAACGAGAGTAAATCTGAGATGCAGTAATGGCATTGTGTTGGTTTTTAGTAATGAAACCAAGGATTCTTCAAAAGTTTCCTGGGGCAATGCAGCTCCTATCCCCCCCCCAAGAAACTGTGGTTTTGGAGGTTGGGAAGAACCCACAGAACCCACAACAACACCCACAGTAACAAGCAGGGATTGAAAAGCCAATCCACCTGTCAGCCAATAAAAACCAGATCACAGGGTTAGAAATTGAAGGTACTACCAATTGAAAAACCTGACTTGTACATGTAAGTTGCATTATGACCATCAAAGACATTCTAGAGAAGGTTGGAAAAGTTGACCCAAATTTTTGTGCTGTGTGGCTCTGACCAAGAGAGAAGACACATGACATAGAACCTCAGCAAAAAATGGCCTTGATACCCTATTACGCAAACTTAGTCCTTGCCCCAAAGTTACGGCTGTGACTAAAAGTAACGCAAATGCCTGGGGAAGGCTGATGGCTAGTAGCTGTGGCTATCCTCCATAGACGCCTGTGTTACTCCTTGCCACAGCCAGTTGATTTGGGTATGACCCCGAGTTCAGTGCCCAGTACCTTGAGGCCCAAGACCACCCCAAGCCCCCATTTGTGATCGATCTTTCTTCTTACTTTAATAACGCAGACCGCGGAGGGATCAAGGAACCAAAGCAAGTTGAGGACCTACAGGAGAAGTTTCTGGAGTGTCTACGACGAGAGATCACACGCCGAGAGGTCAAGGATAACCACCTCTTTGCTAAGGTGACTGGAAATCCTCCTTTTTTCTATTCGAAGTGTACAAGGTTCCAAATGAAGTCTTTCAGGGGACCAAAATTTTCAACCCTGCAGAACGCAGCCCTTCCCAACCTAATTCCCTGTTCTGTCCTGTCCTGTCGTGTTCTTCTCTGTCCAGCACAAAAGCTGCAACAGCTATTTCATTTCATCTAGGTGGATTCATAAAACCCAGACTTGCTCAAATTCAACCATATTTGGCATAATGAACCAGTGTAGTATTTTAGCGAGGCAAGGTTGTTTGTGTAAAAAGCTCCTGATGACAAGCCAGCGTGGGCACGTTAGTCATCATACGGCTGAGGTGTTTGGGCCGATCTTGTGTGCTCAGGGGCACCCCCCAATTATTAATTCCAGTCAGCAAATGGAGCTTCGGTCGGCAAATAAATCCAAAATAAGTACGTTAACAATGCATGTTGGCCGTCAGCAATTCCCCTGAAGCATGAAATGTAGCATACCATAGATCACTCTGCGAATTTTACATAACACAAGGCATAGCGAACAAGTTACAAATTGGTTAATTGACTCTGGCACCCCCCCCCAGAAAATGCCTTCGTCATGCCAACTGCGTATCCTCACATAATGCACTTCATTACGGGTATGCTGTGTTGAAATATTGGATTGAACGTTGATTGTAGCACAACAACCTGACAGGCCTTTCTGTTATCGTTACTTGTTTCATTGAACAGCTACGTGCACCATACAATTTTTTCTTAATTAAGTTTTCATTTCCATTTCCTCTTTCTCTCTCTGTTGACCCTTTCAGCTCTTGATGAAGATGCCCCTGCTGCGCTCCACCTCTACCTTGCAGATGGAGACCATGCTGCGCTTCCGCATGGAGTTCCCTGAGGTGACCATCCCGCTGCTGCTGGCTGAGCTGAACAACATCAACCACGAGGACGCTGAGGACCACTTCATGCTGCCACTCATGAGCGAGGTCCTCGGACTCAATGGGAACTCGTGAGTACGAGCACTTTATGAAGAAAGACAATGCCAAAAAAGGGCAAACTGGAAAAAGTGAGAAAACCAGAAAATCGTATCGCGTATGGTATAGTCCTCGGACTGTAATTTTTTAAATGACCAATAGGAAAGTTCATGAGAGTGGTCAACTGAACTTCTGACCACAAAGTGCTTCTGTTAACATACATTGACACAGAGAATGGAATCCTTTTCAAATTTTTCATACCCAACAGGCGGAAAAGACCCCATGACATCGCAGAACGTCTCCCCCTCACGAAGATCACCAAGGAAGGCGGTCTCTTCCAGCCACCAAAAGCAGTCGCTGGGGTGCCCACTCAACGGTCCCCGTCGTCTTCGGAGCCTGAGGACATTAACATGGTGGTCACAATGAGGACAGCTACAACGTGAGAATGTCAACCTCAGACTGTGGTCATCTCTTGGTTTTTGGGTCCTTGGAGCTTGATGTCAACATAGTAGGATAGGTGACAGCTATGATGCGAGGACATAGATAGTAGACAGTGGTCACCTCTTCATTTTGTAGTGAACAGAATCCGAGGACATCAACATAGTGGATAATTAACACACAGGACAGCTATGTTGTGAGGACATCAGTAGCAGACGTTTAGTCATCTTGTCCGCAGTCCTTGGAGCCTGAGGACATTAACATGATTGTAAAAGTGATAATAGATTTTTGTGTATAAAGTTGTCAAATATTCTTGTTTCTTGGGCAACGCTGGTTTGTGAAGCAGCCTTTTTTCCGTCTGCAAGCAGTCATAGCGGAGTCACACAGGGTTTCTATCGCAACATTAATGCACATCCATGTTTGTCTGTGATTCAGGCTTGTAAAAGCCTCTTTATTCAGCAATCGTCTTAAGGATATTCACTAGGCGACTGAGCATGTAAGACATGCACGGCCTTCATCAGATTGTTCATACCCACCTTCATTAAGTTCATCACTGCTGGACCTTGGCCTGGTCTTGAACCCAACCCCTGGAGATCCTGCAAATATCCACGAGAAAATTGGGGGAACATTTTTGCGGGGTTGAGGAAGGTCGAGCCCAGCCACTGTTATTGTACATTAGACACGGTGCCCCCTGAAAGTTGAAGTGCAAAGAATGCATCTTTGGTGTCCTGCACAGGGGAGGATTTTGGAAGATACGGGAAAGTTTTTGATGAGAATCCTGCGAGAATTTTTAGGGTCAAGTTTTTTTCCGAGGAGTTTAGCCGTGCAACCTCTATGATCTGCTGTAAGCCATGCCATTGCGACTTTCATTATACACGTCCACCTTTGGCCGCCTCAGAGCAAACGTCTTCAGGCCCCTGGATCAGTAATTTTGAGAGCCCCTACATAAGGAGGCCGTCATCTGCATGGCATGTGATGCTACGTCTAGCTTCGCATGTCTGGGCGTTCAATATGCAGCCTCTACCCAGCCCTAAAAGTTATGTTTAGTCTCAGCCGGGGCTTGAGGTCCATCAATTCCGAAGATTATGTCCATCAAGACCCGGAAGGCATCAAGGTCCCCAAAAGACATTCAAGAAAATTAAGTCCTAGTCAGCTTCTTCTATTAGAACTTTGTAACACTGCAATTTGTCTTGCATTTATGGTTCGCCAATCAGAATGGGCGCTTTGTTGGCTGAGCATCTCATACTTCTTTTGTAGCAGTGTGTCTAGGTCATAGGTCATTTTCAAGGCCTTTGTGCCCATTTGACCACAGACCAACCAAAGGGTTAGGATCCCACGTTGAGTGTATCATTGAGGTTATAGCAAGGCGCTCAGTGAAGTGACACATGCAACTGCATGCCATTTTAGAACCGACACCTGGCGTTATGACAAGGCCATTTAAGTTTCTTTTTCTCTCCAAAGATTTTGGAAGTTAGAGGTCCGCCAATATGGGTCTTAGCAGATGCTTGACTATACACCATGCAGGAGCTAATGCAATAGTATGCAATAATCACATACAAAGAGCACCCACTTCTGTGATGAAAAAACATGTCCAGTGTAGAATTCAACACCACTGAAAGAAACATTTTGAAGTTTAAATCTCCATGGAAAATTTCTTTACCGTTTTCATTTGTTTTAAAAAATTTTTATGGAGAAACGTTGTGTCACCAGTTTGCCAAATGTTGCACAATGACTCTTCTGCTAAACTTTTAACTACTCCACAAATTCACCCACTTCAAACTTTTATAACACTCGTCGAATTAATTAAAAATACCACCGACTTATTAGGGAAATTAAAGTCTTCACTGCGAACAGCTGTCTACAGGGGTTTGAAACAATTTTGTATGGGCTCTTACACACACGTAGGATATTTTAATGAGTGGAACTGTTTTCCAATTATCAAGACAATGCATTAATCACGTTAATAGGAGCTGCTTCCTTTTTGTCTTGTGATTCCCAGAAATGCAACTCGAAATACTGACTGCTTAAAGTTATCAGCACATATATATATATATATTTTTCACTTTGTATAAGGTAACAGTAAGTTATTCATAAATTGTATAATAATTTTTTTATAACTATGATTGAGCTCATTAAGATTGTGTAAATGGTTTTAATTGTAAAAATGTTTTGTAATGCAGCACTGCCCACCGAGAGATGAAAAATGCACACCTATGATTTGCATTGTACTGAGACACATTTGAATTGAAATGGCTATATCCTTTTTTTTTTTTAAATTAATTCTTCTAACAAGGGACTGAAATAAAATGTATGTCTGAAATGTGAGGGAAGAAAATTTTGTTTTATGAGACGGTGAGGGACAAGCTGATGTATTATTTTTAGAAGGGAATTTGGATTTAGTTTGCCAATTTTTTTTTTTTGGTCGTATAGTATATGCAACTTTGTACATGCATTAGATGCCATGCACGCATCGCAAAACTGAACTGCGTTGATCATGTTCCACCATTTCCAAACTGAAGTTCATACCAAAAACTGAAATTCATCAAAAGAATGGCAGATTAGGCAGTTTTGAAGTGCTAAAAATCAGATAGGAGGGATTCTCCATGTTAAATATCGCAGAAAGTTCAGAAAATGTTTTGCATTGGACCTGCCTGCAAGGATGCAAGTTTTCAGGCAAAAGCCTGATTTTTGGCTGGTTCTTGTAAAATGTTATTTTCAGACCTTAGCAAGGTACATCTAGGCTTCCATGGCTGTATTTTCAGGTTCTGTATGAGAGCCTGACTGGCATCCCTGCTGCCTAAATCTTAATTATGGGCCATGGAGAAATGTCAACATATGTTCATGTGGTACACTTTTCTGTCAGTAACAAATTCTGTGAGTGGCATTAAATACTGCACCACATTCCTGTGTTATTGGTGACGGGGGGTTCTTCCTTCTAGTATCTCATTGGTTTCTTTCCAAAGACTAGACGACATGCCCTGTGATGTTATGCCAGGCAGTATGCACCTACATACTGGAGAAGCAGCTGGCCTTGGCTCGTCCTCTTCACTTTTGACCATCATGCTTTGCTATGAAATTTATTAACTTCATTGCCCAATACATTTATAGTTGATATTTCAAGTAATAAGAAACGTGCAGTTGGTGTGTTCACTTTGTGCTATGTGACCAGAATGTGATTTTTATGGGCACTTTCAACATCATCTACATATGCAGCAGGTTATAATTCAAGGCCCTAATTTAATTTTGACGACATGAGTCAGTGGCAACTAATTCATTTCCTTTGAGATTACCTCGTTTTGAAATACATGTACGGTAAAATGCATAAAATAAATTGTAACTTAGTTCGTAATTATGCAGTGATACAGAATCGCAGATTCATGGTGCACATTATAACTGTATTGTAGAGCAAGATTGTTTCTGTAATAGCTGAAATATACAAGTAAAAATTGGTTTTATTTGTTTTTTTTTTTTTTTAAGACGATTGATTGTTACAGTTTACACAGGAGTGGAAAATCAAGATTTCAGCCTCACCTTGAGTGGGGCTATGAACAGATGAAGAGCCTAACAGTGGTTTCTCCAAAATTTGAAAAAACAAATCCCAAATGTGAATTTTTTCTGCAAAGAGGTATTTTTAATAAAGAAATGTTGATTTTTGTAACACTAGGCACTGTATATAATGTTTTCTATAAAAAAAAAGATGCCAAACACAACACAATGTTTATACCTGTATAACCTCTTTGAACAAAAAGCAGTTCAATGTTTCTTTTTATGTTGTATCCCCATAAGAAGATTCTTCATCTGAGGTTTGGGATAACATCAGACGAACAATCGTCTTTTGTGAGTGTGCGTGACTGAAAGAACTTGAGATGTCACTCGCGCAAAAGAATTGCCTCATGTTTTTCTCAAATGAATTCTTATGATGTGTTGCAATGTGATTGTGGCCAACAAACAAGGCGCTGCTATGTCTCGAGATAGGTCGTGTTTTCACACGTTCATTTTTTTTGTTCAGTAGGTATTTTTTCAAAATGGAAGTATTTAGGGCGACCGTTAGTGGAGAAACTGCATTGTGACTTGGTTGGAAGTAACTTTGTTGACGTGCGCCCATTTTGGTGTTTTTGTGAAAACTTGTGTGCAGTCGTATGTCATCACAGGGTATATAAAAGCCACTCGTTGCGAGTGAGCATTCTGTACCAATATTTCTCCACTGCGTTGGTTCTTTGAAGTTGACATTGAATTTTTATTCATGGCCGGTGCGTGGAAAAACAATCCATTATTTTTCTGAGACAAGTGGATAGATTTTGTCTCCCTGACCTGTCACGTGAAACAATTAAGATTACACACTTTACCTCAAAGCATATAGTAATGACAAAGTTTACAAGGTTGGGCCGTATTTTGGTTTAATTAATAAAAAAAAAAGCAATTCATGTATGTCTTCACTAAACCTAGACTTTGTCTTTTATTATTTTGAGTGTTTTTGAGACAGTGTCGAGTATCAGACGGAGGAAAATTTCTGCGCCATTGTTTATGTTCAGTTGTCATTTTTGACAAAATTAACAAAAAAAATCTTTGTTATAAAAAGTGGTGTTAACAGTCTCCGTTAACGCAGTGCCACCCCAAGCCCACCATTGTGTGTGGAAATCTAATGCGTTGATTTTTTGTTGAATTTATCGTCAACCACTTCCTGCCAGGGAGCCTGGTACCGGAGACCTTGGCCATGTACGCATGGCTGGATTGCTTGAAATCGGAACTTTCTTCATGGAAAAAAATGAAGGTGCTTGGTGTTTTTAGAAAAAGTTTACTTGGTGTCAGTCAGCTGCTGGGACTTGCCAGTCAAGGTTCATGTGCTGTCTGCAGAGTGCTGGCCAATTTTTCGTGGAGGTAGTCTGTCATAGCTTTGAAACAGTACCATTGTTCATGAAGTATCAGCGGAAACAAAAGTGCTCCAGCGATGAGCGATACAGTACCGCTGGGCGCTTGTGGAATCTGGCTGTGTAATACAGACAACGCCGCCATCCAGCAACATACTGGTGCACTGGGCCAATTTCCAGAACAAAGAGGAACTTACACGACACCACGCAATGGGGGCTCTTTACTGGGCGGCAGGCATGGCTGCAATACTCGCGTGTCAATGGAGGTTGCCTGTCAGATAAGACTTGCCACAAGACAGTCGTCTGTTTGGGTGTACGGGTCCAGTCCAAATGAATTTTTGAAGAATTTTAAGAACAGAAAAAAGTGAAAAAGCACGCGACAGTGTGTCCTCAGTGCCGCTATCTCCACTTGGCAGGAAGTGGTTAACCCATCATCAAAACTATCCCTTGCATCATGCAGGGAAAGTTGGCATCGTCAAAATTAACTCTCCAATGTTGTGCATTTTGCATGGCGTATACTGTGGGGTGGATTTCAGACTGACATCCAGTCTAATCTACTCTAACACTGCCCTACGTTTGGCTATTACCACAAAATTGCCAACTGTACAAACTAGTCTATAGTCAATAACTATATTGTCACAATTAATTACTGTACTTTACAATGCACTTTAACACAAAACAGATGATAAAACCAAAATTATACCACTATACAAACTCTTTACTCTAAGAAATACCATAAAGGCCTACAGGTATATACGTATGTACAAGGGAAAACGGGCAAAAACTGTGAAACACTTGCTTTGAAGCAGAAGTGCAGTGTTAAAAAACATGATGGAAGACGTGCATTGCAGGAAGCCCATAGACTATAACGCCACAAGATAAGGACTGGCATTGTAGGATCATCCATGAATGGCCCCACGATAAAGTACCATGCACATCTGAATATGTGAACATTGGAAAGTGGGTTGATATTGCTAAAAGTGCTTTATAAAAATGGCAATTTATTATTCTTTAACCTGCTGTTTTTCCAATGGAAATCCATTATTTTCTCTCTGGCTTCTCCTTTCCCAGGTAAAACTCTCCATATTGTCTAACTGCGGTAATGCTAGTTCCGCATCGTATTCTAAGATTTCAAATTCCTTCTGGGCCTTTGGCATGCCTTACTTGACTTTCTTTTGGGCGGTGCCAATGTTACATTGATTAACCTTGGTGGCAAAGCGTAGTGAGCAAAGGGACTCCTGCAGGTTCTCCTCGCGGGGTGAAATGTTGACGAACATCAACCTGAGGAGAGGGAGAAAGTAGGTGGAAAGAAACAACAAAGATTAGAAACGTCCAAGTTTTGAAGTTCACCTCTTGAAACAGATATCCATTCACTTATGATCACAGTGCGCAGTGGTCAGTGTTATAGCCAGCCCTATGTTAGTGCAGGGCAATTTAGTAATGGCGAACGGAGGACGTGAAGCAACCGGAGTCTCACGCATCACAGCCGGGGGCACAGGGGCCCCCTTAAGTGGACTCTAGATTGCTTTTTCAGTGAGTTTTTCTTTCCAAATTGATGAAGAGTTCAAATTTTTACAAAATTCTTCCCGGTAAAAATACGAAATTTTTATAGTGACTTATGTTGTTTTTTTCTGGAAATTTTAAGGCCTTTTCTGCCAGTCAGTGGGCTGTTTCATCAAGCTTAGTGCCCGGCGGTAGAACGCTGTGGTGGAGATCCCCGACCAGCAAAGCTACAACACTGGTAGTGGTGCTTGAAAGTGTTGAGAATATGCAATAATAAACATGCAGTAACTTGGGTTGAGTTCGGGTGGCCTGTTCTTAACATGGGTTTCTTGTTCTCGCGCTCGAACGGCGGGAACACGACTCAAGAACACTGTTCTCAGAACAGGATCACACACCACCTCCTCCTCAGGGTTTTACAGGAGCACATGGAAAACCTCGTGAGATTTTGATTTCTCAACAGCTGCAAAAAGCAGAGAGATGGCTTCCAAAGCCATAGACCATGTTGACAATGGGAAGTATCGCAAAATTAACATTAATTATTTACCATAACACAGAAATTCATGTTCCTGTTTATATAAAAAGAATTCAGCCCATCCAAACCTTAACTCTCGAATAACATACATGGACGCCGCCATGTTACATGTCATAACCGGTTGTTTGTTCCCGGCGTTCCAGCGGCCAACCCACAAACAACAAATCGAGCTGTTCTTGAGCATACGGGAACAAGGTGCCCGAACTCAGCCTTGAGGTTTACAAGTGAGGTTTAGTGAGCATTTACAGGGATTTTTAGGAGCAACACAGGATAAAACCTCAAGTGACCACCTTTTCTTTGCTGCATTCTTCCCTTCCATACTCTGTAGTTAAAGTGTTTCATTCCAAGTTTCAAGACTACGTGCATGCCTGTCAGCTATTCTTTTTGTGTTACTGCGCAATCAGTACAACAGTTTCTTGTAAATAAATGTACTGATCGATGGGCTATGGAAGAAACAAAGTCAGGAATGGCTCTCCCCGGGCTTGTTTTCTGGTCATCACATATGCCACACCTCACCACATATAGAGCCATCTGCCAACTATTTACATGAAGGCTTTCTTAACCAGGAGTAGAGACTTCTCAAAGTCACTGTGAACTATCTGCCACAATCTTGCCATGAAAAAATTGGTTACACCTCTTTGCAAAGGCAGTCACGCCTCTGAAACTCACTTGAAAAGGGTCCATTTTTGGCTTTTGGGGTGACAACATTTTTCTCTCTGATTGCATACCTTTTTTTGAGCTTGCTCACAACTTGAATGTCTGTTGGTTTTGTCTCCCTTTTGTTCCTTCTTTGTCAGTGTGTATTACGGTCATTGTAATGCCTTGTGTATTCTTGTAAATGCTATTCCACATACAACCTTGAGCTTAAATGCAAACAGCCTTGTACTTTCCTGTTCTGTATCATATTGTGATTTTTTGTTCATAGTCAAATTTTAACAACGCCTTTAAATTGGTATTTAAAATTTAGATAATCTGCCAACTGTAATTTGCATGTATGAAGCGTGTCCTGCGTAGTGCATAAAAAAGGCCACAGAAACTTGACAAATAAGTGAAACAAGACCAAATGTTGGGAAGGGAAATTTGCCGCCTCACGTTTTGGAGTTGCCTCCCAGGGAGTTCTGCAGCAGGTGGGTGAGCTTGCTGTTGCGGTAAGGCACGTGGGATTCCTTGTTGGCTAGCGCCATGATGACGTTGCCCAGGTTACTCAGGCTGCGGTTGATGTTCTTGGTCTCGCGCAGCCGCTCGCCGGTGGAGCCCGACTGGGACAGTCGCTCGCTGCCCGCCAGGTCCACCAGATTCAGGGTACCTGCGGTGGCAGAGAGAGCAGAGACCAACGGATGAATGAGAAGACCTCCCTGAGATCTCCAAAATCTCTCCACTGTACAGGACAGTGACTTTAATCTTAACAAAATCAGGGTTTTTTTTGGGGGGGGATGGCAGAATTGATGCCCCCTAAAATCTAAGCTGTGCCTCGCCTGATCTTTCTAAAACTTGGTATCCATGACAGGACTTTCACTAATTAAAAGACTTTCACTTCACTTTGACATAAGGCCTTGCTGTAACAATAATTTGTGTTTCAAGCCCTCGTGCAAGTCATCCAACTTGCATTGAGAATTTTAATGGGCAAACTAAACTTTTTGACCAAAATATGAACCGGCCTTCATGCTGAGGTCTAAACCCTAAAAGGGCTGGGATCGGGGATCTGCCCCCCTCAGTGCTTTTCCCAATAGAGGCACAGCATGTTTTTTCACATGCCAAGCCTTCAGGGTTTTTCCAGTAATATCGTGCAGTAAGTTTGACACCAATATTATGAGAATCTGATGAGCCATTCTCACGCAGCATCCATTTTTTTTAAATAGGTCGGCCAAAACACTTTGAGCTGATACGCTTCGTGTACGTTAAGTGGTACATGTGGCCTTCAATATGAATTGGAACCTCAATCCAATATGAATTGGAACCTCAATCCAATATGAATTGGAACCTCAATCCAATATGAATTGGAACCTCAGATTTGTACTTACGCTGATTGCGTAGGAACAGCCAAGTTCTGGGCAGGGGGGTGTTGTGGAAACTGCCCTCGTATGGATGTGAGATGGTTAGTAATAATCTGCCCAAGTCTGTTAAGATTAAATCCTGACGCAGTTTACAGAAGGTGGAAAAACCATTCTTCCTTTACCGCTAACACCAAAACTATTTTTCCAAAGAAACTGTTCATGCTAAAATATAATTCTTCGGAAGATTGCCCACCTTGGCTGGCCTCGCCAGTCAGTGCATTGGTTCCGGTCAGCCTCAGCCGGAAGACGCTGTGGCTGCGGGAGGACCGCTCGTTGCATCCCGTAGCCGCCACGGCCCGCTGGTGGGAGGCCCTGCCCAGCAGCGCCCGCACCTGTGCCTCGCCGCTCACCGCCACCGTGGTGGAGTTGGTTACTTCCACGTCATTGCTGCCGCTGTTGGTACCGCCGCGACCATCCTTGGCTGCCAGCTTGATCTCACACTTCTTGTCGCCTGCACCCAGCAGGTCGCGTACCGTCTCATTGTAGATCTCTAGGAAGCTGGCTTCCATAGTGTACTGCAATGCAACGTTTCAAACAAGCCCAACATTTTTAAGAGAGAACTAAGAAAATTGACAAGAACATAATTCAATCACATCTGTGATCTTCAAATGCGTCTCTCCAGAAAAACTTTGTTCCCAGGATTTTTCATGACTGTGGGAACCCTGAAAAGGGTTCCTAAACCCACCTCCCAGCCCTTCTCCTTGAGCTCGCTGGCCGTCTGGAAGATCTGTCGCACCGCCCTGGGGATCATCCCCTCCGTCTCCTCTCCTACATCATCTGGCCCCTCCATGGTGAACGTCTTGCCGCTGCCCGTCTGGCCGTAGGCAAACACGCACACATTGTAGCCGTCCAGGGCACTCTGAGGGGGACAGGGAGCAGGGACAAGGGTGCAGAGGAGGAAATAATGACAGGAATGCCGGTAGTAATTTAACAAAAAGGTCGGAAATGGAACGAAGGGCAATGGTCTTGTGTTTACTTCTTGTGTTGCAAGTGTCTTTCTATGCAAATCCATTGTCATCACTTGAGAAAACAAGCTACATGTAATTTTAGACTTAAGTCTGAATCTCATGTTTGAAATGAGAAGAGTCAAACTCAGGAATGGACGGAGGTATTTACGATACTTTTTTTTCACAGTACAGTACATTAGGATATGATAGCATGTGCATGAACTAATCAATTTTGTAAACTATGAAAACTGTTAGACTTGTAAGCATCTATTGTGTTTATTCGCAAGTCGTCAACATGCTGTTGAGAGTGGCATTTTACTTCAATTCAGCCAATTCAGGCAACACTACTGCAGCTGAGGGTTTTTCTGTGGACAAGTATTATTCGAGGACCCCCCCAATTAAAAACCAAACCAATGCCATGATCAGCTAAGATGTAAATATTACAATTGCCTGGTATGTAGAAGGGGAAAAAAGTGATGCACAATTTTTTTTTCTGAATTTTGAAGCTTAAAAACTTGACGGATTGGAACTTTTTAAATGTGACCAGAGAAATTGGTATCCGCTACATGAGTGTTTTGCCTCATTTAATTTTGCCATTTTCACCACTTTTTGCTGTTTTCCTCTGAAAAAACAAAAAGAGAGAAATGTTTTCCCAGTACCTGAACCAACTGGGATATCTCATCAAAGACCTCTGCCTGTGTGGAGCTAGGGTCGAAGACGCGATCAAAACCAAATTCATACTTCTTACTGCTGCTGGACCGTGTGCCGACATTACTCTGTAAAGAGAAAAAAGGGATTACATAGGGACAACTTAACGCAAGACAGAGCCCTTCTTTTGTGTAATTTGACAACAAGAAATAGAAGCCAGTACTGTGATGGCAGAATACTCCTAGGAAGGTGGTATGGCCGCGTTACATGCCTCTTTGAGCAATAGGGTGTCGCAATTTGCCAAAAGCACATTTGCGCATTAAGCTGAGGAATTTCCGTGGGTGTGCAGTGCCAGTGCAGTTATGGCGTCTAACCGGTTTTAATGGTCCGTAGCCAGATGTGTTGTTTGGAAGTGTGTGCTACAAGGCACTCTTACATTGGCAGGCTTTTCCCACGGAACATTTCATTTAAAGTCAGTGTAACCTTAAGAGGGAAAATCCCATGCCTCACATCTGAGAGTTGGAAGTATTTCCAGGCCTACAAATGGGCAAGTAAAATAATGATTGCGGTACAGCAACCTACAGTAATAACAAACCACTGAGGCATTTATCCACCTAAAATAAAACTCAAGCAGTGTCTTTACACATGGCACAGAGGATAAGAATTTACATTTAAATTGAAAAAGAATTGACAAAAAATTCCCCTACCATTTAAATATTAAGCCAACACTTGCCAGAGGCCGCTGCCACCTTCCTCCATGTTTTCATTTGTACATGATTATACAGTTCAACAATGCACATGGTTCAACCAATGTAACAATGTAGATTGATGTTGGGGAACTTAAAACAAGCAATGTTCACTGTTTTAGAATCCTCATTTTTCTCAAAAAGTACATGGATACTGAAAGGGGAAAATGTTCTGAAAATCAGATTACTTTTACAGGCATCGTTTGTAATAAAAATGAACACCAGACTGCGTCGATCAAAATGCCAAACATCTAAAAGGGGCAGTTCCTTTTCAACATGTGGGGAAGTCGGTAAACAGATTTGCAACTTGTTTTGTTTGAATGCGTAAACGTCCCTTCCTTAACCCATTGCAGTCGGAAGTCAGCCCTGGCCGTGGCTCAGAGGGAGGATTACTGCATACCGCAAATACATTCATCATGCACCTGCGGTTTCTAAGTGGGCCCGCTGCTGGTCACGGCTCTGCATACTGGGAATACCGTAGTCCAGCAGTCAAAGTCAGAATAATCCCGGCAGCGATGGAATAATCAAGGTGTAATTAAGACAAACACAAGCAGGAAGCAAACCAATCTATTCACCCTAATTGTTTTTAATCTCACAGGGAATATTGACTTTTTTTGGTATTGTGAGAGGTACTTCTGACAAGCTTGTAGTAGTCTTCACTATGGTTTTTAACGAGAAGGTAAGAAGAGGTTGAAAATCGAACCCTGAAAATTCGTCGTCATCACCATGTTTCCTTATTTCCTACCTCGTTAAGATTGGCGTCGGCCAACTCGATGGTCTTATTGTCCGTTTCTGTGAAGTTGATGTGTCGCATGTCATGACCGCTTGCAGTCTCTTCGGGCAGAAGAGGGCGAACTCGACAAAATACACGGATGTTACCCTAGCGTAATTTAAAATAGCAAGTATTACAAACAGCAACTTTTTTCAAATGTCAGTGACACAGTCAGTGACACAAAAAACAGTTGGCCAAATCAGGGCTCCAACAGAAATCTGAAAAACCAAATTCCATGACTTTTCCAGGACTAAAATGTAACAATTTGTCAAATTTCATGACATTTAATACCTTTTTGCAGAGGAAATTTATGAACTGGGAAACTGCCACATCCACTACCAAAGACTGATAAGGATGTAGCACGAAATTGATCTTTATCCTGGTTTCATGTCAAAAGTGGCCCATCAAAAGACAAACTCTTACAGGGACCTTGATTCCCGTGACTTTTCCATAACGTTTTTCCTGACAACAGAATCTGCGACAGCCTACTTTTTTCCACAAAGTCCATGACTTTCAGGAACAACTTTTTTCCCTACGAGTTTCAGTGACCGTGGGAGCACTGCAAATTTGTTCACTTGCCAAAACAGACACCCAGTTAAGTCTGTCCTTTGCATGCATCTCGGAAGGACCGTTTGCACCCACCTTCAGCTCTTGAATTGTGTTGTGCAGTTTCCTCCGCGTAGTCTCGTTTTCACGGATCTGCGCCTCTTGGTCCGCTATCATGGCTTCATGCTGGGCGATCACTACCTTGAGCTGAGCAATCTCGTTTTGTAAGAGCCGGCCGGCTTCCAGTGACTGCTCGTAGTTCAACTGAAAGAAGTCAATTTCACTCAAATATGAAACTAAAATCCCCCACACACGAAGTGTTCAAAACTGAAGTAAATCTTCAAAATAACAAACTCCCCCATCCCCCGTCAAAAAAAAAGACCAAATCTGAAGTCAAAAGACATAATAACAAGCAGAAATCAAACCAACATTGGATCAGTAGATCGAAACACCCAAAGAAATGGGTGTTTAAAAACAAGCAAGGCAACGAACAAATTTGCTTGTAACTGGTCCAGCATCACCATGCAGATTTCCATACCCTTAAAATGCCCAACAAGAGCTGCATTGAAAGAATGACAGACATCTTACAGTGCAGAACAGGCATTACCTTAGTGCTGGCCAGTTCAGCTGTGATGCCCGCTTGGGCAGCGGCCATCTGAGCAACGGATGCCTTCAGCCCGCTGCATTCCTGCCTGGAGGCACCCAGGTCACCCCGGACGTCAGCCAACTGACGGTCCAGCTGCTGGTTGGCATGCAGCACGTCGTCTTTCTCCCTCTGCAGACGACGAGTGGATGCCATCAACTCGTCCTCTGAGTCCCTGTGTCGAGATTTTAAAAAGGAAAAAAAAAATGCCCACAGTATTTTTATATAACAACTGTGTGAGAACCCTCAATGGTGTTGAGGAGAAATGCAAAACCAACACTTAAACGCAACTACCACTGTGCACCTGATGTTGATAGGTGTCAAGTGACCATACTCTGACAGTTGATTATATCAGCTGACAAAGTTAAGCTGGCTTCCAAGGAAAACATGTTTGAGAGCATTTCTTGCCTGAGAAATGTGGGTTTTTTTTAGCGGTTTGGATGACAAATACTGCATACACACAGCTACTCTGAGCAGTTTACACAGTATGGCATGCCAACTAGCTTGCCAAGGCCGATAACTCATAATACAAGTCTCCTGATTGGTAATAATCTGGAATCCAGGGGCCATCGTCTTGAACAATTAATCTGTAATGCACACAGAAATCACAGACGTTGGTGTGCAAGTGTGTATCTATTACAAAGACTAGGTCTGATGGGCCGAGTGTACTTTTCTTTTCTCTCATCCCGGCCTGGTTCTCACCTAACTTTCCTCTCCAGTTGTTGGATGGTCTGGTTGGCCTCCTCTAGGCATCGGCCTTTCTGTTGCAGGGCGGACCGCAGGCTGTCATTGTCGGACTCCAGTGAGTGGTTGTTGCCTGTCCTCTCATTGACTTCCTGCTGTAGTTGGTGGTTCAGGGCGTTGCGCATCTCCAGCTGGCTCTCAATGTCTGCTAGCCGGCCCTTCAGGTCCCAGGCCGGCCGCTTGGCCTTCTTGGGGCCTGCATGATTGGACAGAAATGAGGTCTGGGTTTGAGGTCTAATAATGCCACTCTCTCTTCACAGATGCAGGCAAACGTTTCTTGAAAATTCCTTCAGGCATTGCTGTGGCCAAGTTCTTTTCAGGGTACCAAAGCTTTTCAAAGCTAAGTGTCAAAGTTATGAATGAGGTAATGAAAGTTGTGAAAAGCTTTGAATGAGGAAATATGAATATTTATGAGGAAAAAAAAGAATTGCAAGATGCATTTAATTATTTGGGGAAATTTAATCCGCTGCCATCGGTTGACTTTCCCTGGTAATCTACAGTGTGCAACATATATCCTGGGTACCGGGCAAAACTGACCACTGGTTGCTGTGCGAACTTGGGCTTCGCAAGTGGACTCGGATCAGAACATGAGACTGCGTTTGTGAGTCCCTTTTACAAATACTTCAAAGGACGCTATCATCGGAGCTCTGTCACCACACGGTCCCTTTTGGGCTATGTACTCAACTTCCAAGCGCAAAAAGATGCCATGACGCCCACTTGTAGTAACCTTCCAGCCCCGCCCCTTTCTACCCTCCTTCAAGTACATGTAACCTCCACAATAACTCATACATTTGTTCAAAACTATCTCTATACAGTACGCGAATTTAACAGGAAGTTAAACTTTAGAAAAAGAAATTGCTTGGTGCAAAGCGTGTTTGCCGTTTGACTCACCATTGGCAGTGCTGGTGGTGGTAATGCTGGGTTTAGTTGAGGTGTTAGCTCTGGGTCGAGCAGTGGGTTTAGCTGGCGGGTTGCGAGCAACAACTGCTGATTTTGAGAAAACAGCGTTTTGAAGATCCACTCCTAGCTGTATTTTAAGTTTGCTTTTGGAGCACATGACAGACTGTTTAGTTCATTTAATTGTAAAACACAAACTTTGAGTGAAGCACTGTGAAATCAGCATAGCTAAGCATTGCATAGTTCAACTTTGTTGTGTCAATCATTGATATTGGAGCATATGTGCATCATGTTAGCAAAGTTTGAAAATAATCTTAGCCAAATCCGGAATTAACAACAGCCAAGCGGTAGCAATTTGCAAAGCTAGAATAAAAGTTTGTGGCCTTATAACCAATTACATGTATGTGCTGCTGTAGAAAGTGCTTCCATGCAAACTTGCGCCACCTGTGAGGCACGTCTATTAAAGAAAAAGCGACAAACTACTCAACCTTACTCTTACAGCGACGGGTACAGCAAGTAGTGAACAAGAATTCAGCCCAGATCAGTGACTTTCAAATCTTACTTGGCTTTGCCGGCCTGGCAGCGGCGGGCTTGGTGCGGGTGACTGCTGGCCGATCGACCTTTGGCAGGGTGGCAGCCGATGTCTGCCTCTGTGACCTTGCCGGCGCTGGCCTCTTGGCAGCGGTAGTACTGCCGTTGTTACCCCTGCCGTTGGGCTTGGCCACCTCCTCGGGTTTTCTCCTCTTAGCTTGTGGTGCACCGGTGCCATCGATGTTAGCCTGATTAACATCCAAAAGTTTAGTTTGATGTGACAGAAAATCAGTCAGTCCTGATAAGCTCTACACTCTATATCCTAAAAACGTAGTGTTTTAGATATAGCTATTCATCCTGTTGAATTCAACATACATCATATGTAGTACGGCAGCAGTCTAGAGTGTTATCATATTTGGACGGCCTATGAGATAATTACATCACAAATCTTGCACAATCTGACCAATTACAAGGTTTGTTCTAGCAGCCTGCAACGGATTGTATGGGTGTTTTCATGTTATGGGGTGGTTTTCTGGAATGTTGCAGCATATGGAACAAAAGCATGACAAGATTTAAATTGCAAAAACTTGATTGGCTGTGCAAAAAAAAAGCTACAGACATGAACTACAAGTTCTAAAACATGTTTGTACCAATGGGATTTAAAATTTGTCATTGGCAACCTGAGATGTTTAAAGTTGAATTTGGACAAAAGTTGCTGTACCGCATCAGTAGGGAAAGGTCACTCTGCCCATATGTGGTAACACTCTGGACTGAAAAGACTTTGAAGTAAATCTTTTCACTTCAGTCATTGTCAGTAAGATTCAACACATCATCTTGTCCCTATGTTCTGGGCACATGGATGGTGTTTTTTTTTCATTTTTCAAAAGTTTTAAAGCCCAAAACTGCAGTTTATGCGTCAAATCGGATGTTGTGTGTTGGTTTTTGGATGGCAAAAAATTGTTTCACAAAGGTCTTGGCCAAAATGAATAAAGAACAAGGGAAAAATCAAGTCCATTTCAAAACTTCGCAAGAATGTGACATGCAACATTTACCATAGCCATGTCATCTTCCTGTTCTCACAGTCTATTTTGGCCCCCCCAACCCCGCAAAAACCCTAATCTTCAACCAGATTTTTCTGAAAATCAGGCATACAACTTGGACTTTGACTTCAAACAAGGAAATCTTTACAAAACTTTGTACAGTGTTTTTCCATTTTCAATAGCATTTAAGCATGAAGTGATAAACAAGGAAATCAGCTGATGAGTGGACAATTTACATGCCTGTAAACTACATCGTTTCAAGTTTATGAAAAGGGCCATACTGGCATTACACCGTAGTTCCAGTTTTGTCTGAATTATCCACCACGGAAAGCAGAATTGTGTCTCGCAAGACTGAAACCACTTCAAAAGTTGGCTTTTAATAAATTAGGTTGTTTTATTCCATGGCAAGTTCACCTCATCCTGGGCTAACGGTCTTTTGACCTGCACTTGTGGGGGGCGCAGTTTGGATGGCATTGGCAGCTTGCTCAAGGGACGAACTGTAGCCACGGGGGCATTTACATCCTTGCTAACCAGTGCTGTCCTCTGTCGGGAGTCAAAGATGCAGAAAAAGGCTTTGCACAATTCTTGAAATACTAACATATTTCTCTCCCCAACCTCCTTGTTAAATGGTTTTTATTTTGCCAAATTTTGACTTTATGTACAGAATCCATAGCTACATGTACACTTCAAAAACCTATCACATCTTGGAAAAACCGCTGTGTAAAAAACACATATAATAAAACAAAAACACTTGTATAAGAAAAACAATTAATCAGAAACTTTTCCATTTCACTCAGCTTAAATCAAATTTGTCATTCTATTTGCATTTGTTTATCTGAAAATGTACATGTATGTGATTGTAAGGGGGATGGTAGTGCCTGTCACTTCCAGAATTGAGTTCTAGAACTTGGCAATTGTGAGTTGTGTAGATTCAAAACCTGTTTGTATTCATTACCACTGGTAATGAATTAACCCTGTGTACAATGTACCTGTACTAAAACCTAAGTGATAGCTTAATTTCAATGAACCATTTTGATAACAAAGCGCATGGACACTGCCCACAGAATACTTACCGTGGACATTATGACTTCAGTACATGTAGTTTTCAGCGGTAGAAATTTTCAGATCGGCGTTCTGGTTGAAATCGGGTGGAATGTGTAGTTGACAAACTGAAATAGTTAACAAGAGCATAATTGTCAAACAGGTCAACAGCTTTGAGAAGGATTGAAATTGCCATGTTGAATGCAACTTCAAGAAAGCCAACTACATGTACATGTAACCATGGCAGATATGATGTGCTTGGACGTTATGAAACTGGCAATGGAAAGAGTTCCATAGTTAGACATATACAGGTGTAGTAATTTCCCTGGCCCTGCAGGTTGCAGTGACCTACATGCATACGTACATTGAACTGGAGTCGTCTCAAAGTCCTAAAATGTCTAAACAGTCAAAAACTGTGAAAATATTGAAGTTTTTGCTCACATGACGTAGAAAACACAATTTTTCAGGAAAACAAATTGCAATATTTGACGGCACTAATTTTTCCCACAGCAGTGTTTAGTTGGGTACTTGTTTGAGTATCGAGTTGTCTGCCAAATGCCTAGACGTACATGTACATGTATGTTCTCCAGCTTTGTTCCTTACTTTTTTTAGTATTACCTAGTTCAATATTAGTTGAGTTCCTGTTTGAGTATCGAGTTGTCTGCCAAATGCCTAGACGTACATGTATGTTCTCCAGCTTTGTTCCTTAGTATTACCTAGTTCAATATTAGTTGAGTTCCTGTTTGAGTATCGAGTTGTCTGCCAAATGCCTAGACGTACATGCATGTTCTCCACCTTTTTTCCCTATTACCCTACATGTAGTTCAATATTTATTTGGCAGAGAACCTTGTTACTCAAAAAGTACCTTCTGATTCAATACTGCCATACTGTGTCCAACTGTATCTGAACACAGTATGCCCTAAAAAGTCCAATGACTTGTAGCACAGAAAACATAGAGGCATTCACTTAGAAAACACTTGGAATTTTTCCAACTGGTATCAGAGAGTCTGTGCACAGGGTTTCAAGTGCCAAGTGAAGTGGTGTCTGTATGGTATTCATTCAGGAAGAATTCCACAGCTTGACCAATCACAACACAGCTCCTTTTCCTTATTTTCTTGACCCAGTCAAAATGAAAGCTAAGCTATACATGTTCACGTATGATTGTTCATTGGAATTCTCGAAGAATTCTCTCTCCCTTCATTTCAAAATGTTGTACCTTACAGCACACTACACAAACATGACAAAAGTAACAGCCATTATAATATTAGAAGGTGATGAAGCGTGTTCTAAAGTGAAATTTTGCTGAACAAATTCCAAATCATTTACTTAGCAAACACTCAATAGTAACTTTACATGACTCAGTTTTTTTTCAGTTGTGCACAGGAATTAGCATTTGTCGTCCGTCTGGTTCTATAAGTAGGCCTACTGCCATGATATGACTGCGCAACAAACACACCTTCTCAGTGGTCATGGTGGTTATGAAGCGCATTTCAGGTAGACCGTAGTACTGCTAGGCCTACGTACATGTATTAGTAGTGCACACAGTTCCTTGACCAGAAATATTTTCCACTAATGTACATTAAATGTATCTAAAGTAGATGAATAAACTTTTTGTTTTCAAAACAAATCTTTCGAAATAACTCAAATTCTTACGATTTTTCAAAGCTACCGACTCCAGTTTCTGTGCGTATTCAAATATTCTGCCACAGCTGAAAACAGAAATCAAGCATTCTGATTGGTTAATGGCTCGTTGCATGTGAGGCGCCCTCTCGAGTTTGAAACTTTTTGGGGATCTCCCCTCCATTTCTTCCGCTCATCAATTTTCCGATCCATATAAAAAATATGAAAGTTAATAAGTTGTATTGGCTTAACCGTATTTTGGTTTTCATTTTGTGTTTTTCTTTAAAATGTTTTTGAATGTATCAAGCCCAATCTTTTGTCCATAGTTTTGAAGAGTCCATTTGGGACAAAGGCCAAAGAGGGCGCTATCCACTTCAACAAAACTTGCGACGAATCAACATTCGGCAAGTTGTTTTAACATGTTTGTTGCGTGCTGCTGGGCTCCCAGTTTTGATTTTATTGTCACATTTTGCATTGTACTTACATTATTCAACCCTTCTTCTAATTACATGTACTGTAACAACCTCCACTGAAGCAAGGTTTAGCTTGTTTGATCGTGTCCGTCCATGGGATATTTTAAGTAGGCCAGGCTACCGGCAATGTAATTTTAATTACCTAACGGACAACAGTAAACACCATTAAAAAAAGTTATTGTGTCCATTTGTGGACAGATCCGACTTGGCCAGTGGACGGTGTCTACAGTCATGACATTGTATGGCGAAAAGGGAAATTTTTTAAGACAATGTCCAACCTGGGCAACCTACTTCAAACACTTGCACGGGCAGAGCCCTTATTAACCTTGAAAACTTGTTTCAACAGATGTAGCAAGTGTCTTGTCAAAATCTTGCATCCAAAATAACCATTTTTTCTCTTTTTTAGGTTTCAGACATGCCCTATGACTGTGTGAGCACATTTCAATCTGCATGATCTGCCTGTTTGTGTATTGATATTGATGCATGCTAACTTCGGCTTTTATAAATTGAGTAGGGGCCTAGGCCTAATCCTAGTGGATTTTCTGATGCCATAAGCATAAAGGTTGGCATTACTAAAGCAAGGTTTAGCTTGTTGTATGTCCTAATGAGGCATTGTCTTTAGTGGTAGTCTGTCTCAATCATAGTACAGAGATGGCACCCTGTCAAGATGAAAGAAAAGGCAGCCAATGCAATGGGAATTAAAGGTGAAAGGTGAAGTTGTGGTACACACGTACTTTGTCACATTCTAGCTGTGGCCCAGGTTCAAATTACACACAGGCTGACGTGGATTGGGTTTTGTGGTCCCTACCTGACAGTATTATGTTTGAGCCCATCAGAAGTTCCTGCAGGTCCATGTAATTAAGTCCATCTTAAGCATGACAAGTCAGTCAGTCTTTTAATTCGCAAGCTGTTTAAATGAGCTGTCACAAAGTGTTCTAATTGTGTCATTGTTCACCAAATTACATGTACTTATGACTGGACTTGTGAAGTGACTTGTGATGGACTCAAATACAACACTGCTACCTGATCCTTTGGCTTTCCTGGGAAACTTACCCGGGGATTTTCCTCCTACCTTTAAAAGGGAACATTTCTTTGTCTTCCCAAGGATCGAAAGATGAATAAGTAACAGCTGTTATTAACCTTCAGGACTTGGGCTTTAAAAAATTATGTCAATTTTGGGGCCATAGACAGTTACTAGTTCCCAAGGTCATCCTTGTGAAGTCTAATTCCTGTAGATTAATATCTAATCAGGCAATCGCGTTTGTAAATTGCAGAATGCAAAGGCATGACAAGCTCGGTGGGACCGGATGTGTTCCTTCCCACCCAGAGGAAATGGGTGTCGGTGAAAGGTCCGACTTCAGATGGTGATGACACAGCAAAGAGCTTTGTGGTTGTCACTTACAACATCCTCGCTGACTTTCACGTGAAGGCGGACACGTATCCCTACCTGCTACCGGGTCACCGTACCATCGACGAGCGACACCCGCGACTCTTAAAGGAGTTTCAGCACCACGGAGATGCTGACGTCATATGTCTTCAAGAGGTACAGGATGTTTGCTCCCAGCTGCAGTGTTGGTTGCAGCTAGGAAAATCTCCATGCAGCACAATTGCAGTGCCGCAGTTTGGATTTTCAACATCAGTCACTGTTGTTGCCATATGGTGAACATACTATGCTAGTCACATGCATGGAGTAGTGGACAACTCATTTCCTGACCAGCTCAACTCCAGACAAGTCATCCATCAGACAGCTTGACCGTTAATCACATCGACTAGCAAGACAAGTTGCAAACATCCCACCTCAATGTGGCAGATTTTTTTTCTTGCGTGTATGTTGGTACAAATAGACTGGCCGATGCCAGAAAAAACACTTGTTGGACAGGTTTTGTCATCGGTAAGGTTGTGGCTCAGGTGTTGTGGCCAAGCCTGACAGGGAAGGATGTAATCCGGAGGGTCTTTGTGGAGGTTGAGTTGACTTGACATCAAACTCAAGTTGTCTAAATACTGTGACAGTTGAGTTAATAGAACAGTCAAGGTAACTCAATGGACGAGTTGTCTGGACTTGAGTTCGTCAATGGACGAGTTGTCTGACATTGGTGTTTTTTGCATAGTTGTTCCATTAAATGGAAGACAGCTGTCATTTTTAGAACACAGACACTATTCACTATAGATCAAATTTATTTCTTTTTGTTCCTCCATCAGTGCAGTTAGCGCCAATTACAGGATGATAATGAGTGAAGAAGACCAAAAGGAAATGTTCAGTTTAAGAGGTGGGAGGAAATCCCACAGACTCGGGTGAGGACTGAAACCCAATCCGCATGTGGACCGAGCCGGATTCGAACCCAGGCCGCTATGCCAACCTGATTCCCCAGATAATCAGCACATTAATGATAGACCGGTAGAGTTGCATTATCTGAGAAGTGATATGGATGGCTTACTTATCTTTTCAGGTTAACGGCAAGTATTTTGAGGAGGTCCTAGCACCGGCAATGTTGGAATTTGGCTACGAAGGGCTCCATGGCAACAAGGCATTAGGAGTTGACGAAGGAGTGGCAACCTTTTACAGACCGAGTCGGTTTGAGCTCAAGCGGCATAAAGTCAGCTACTTCAAGGACCAAATTCAGGAGGTATGTTTATTAACTATCAGCAGGTGGATTTTATCTGAGACGGAGACAAGCTCAGCTGAAAATTTTGGGCATGAAACAATTTACCTCCGCTCTCCTCCCCACAACCTTAGCCCCGATCCTAATCTGAAACCATCTCAACTCCAACAATAACACTATACTGAAAAACTTTTGGTTCACTGACTCCTATAGTCTTGAAATTAGTATTTATTATTCCACCCTTGCATAAATATTCATCAGGAGATCTCCAAAAGGCAGCTACCAAGCAGCCAATCGGAAGCCATCCTGGAGCGCACTCTGCGAGAAACAGTGACGATGTACCTGCAGCTTGGCTGCAAGAGAACTGGGCAGGCTCTGACTGTGGGCAACGTGCATGCATTCTGGATGAACCACATAGCAATGGATGTCATTGCCCTGCAGGTTCGTTTATTGGGGGAAAAATAATTTGACAAAACCTGCGTACTGTTGTTTAATTTTTTTTTTAATAGGTAGGATTTTGAAGTGTGAACTTTCAAGATGGAAGTTTTCATGAGGCACAGCCTGGTGGGTCTAAGACTGCGAGGAAAAGAAGGCATGGAGAGGGCCCAACAATCCGCCTCGAGCAGAAGCCCTCCCTCATTGGTTAAAAGGAGCCGTATTGGTCGGGAATATGCATTTTTTTGTTACATGTAGCGATGCGACTGCAACGCTTGCGTTTCCTAGTCGTTTGTGAATCAGCGATGCGCAGTTAGTACCAAAGGAGCCTTCGTTGCTAAGGAAACAGCGCCCTCTCATGGTCCAGCTGGAGGCCCATATGACAACTAATTTATAGGCCTACCTCTGAGTACTGAAATCTGTGTTTGTGATCAGATGCGACTTATGACAGTTATTGACCACTTCACACTGGACGACGTGTAAATGTGCTGGGATTCTCTTTGTCGTAACATGGAGAATGGATCTGGCAAGATTCTGTTTGCAGTACCGAATGACGTCTCTACTCATCCCCTCACTTTATCGATTCCCGTTAAGTTTACACATGGAAGCTCAAACCAGACTACGGAGGTTGAGCGTGGGGGGAACCCTTAAGTTGCCGTTGGTCATGGCCAGGCATTGTAGCAAACATCACTCTGCTATAAATCTTTCATTACTGTATCATTCCTTAGACTAACTACATTTATTCACATGTCAAAGGGCCTGTATCCCACAGATCTCGGTCTTGATCAGTGATCTCAAAACCGGTTTGCGCTATCCATGAAGCTACTTCTGGTGTCAGTGAACCAACGTCAGATCACTGATCGCTGTCTGGATACACGTGAAACAAACAGGCCCCAGGTTTTCATTTTGTTTTCTTATTTTGCACTTAACCTACTGCAACGTTGTATGAAAGCCCTTCCCAGAATCGGAAGGTTAAATACTCATTTGCTTTTTCTAAATGCAACAATTCTGTGTTGTGCTGTTTTCAGATAGCATTAGCTGCGAATACACTCGCACAGTTTGCCGGTGACGGGAACAGCGCCCTCATCCTCTGCGGCGACTTCAACACTGAGCCACACATGCCCGCCTACCAGCTGCTGAGGGAGGGTTGCCTCAGCGACCAGAGTGTGGAAAAGCTCCGCCAGTTTGAGACTGTGTCAAAGGAAAGCCCAGAAAAGGTTAGCCTCAGGCACTCTGGAATAAGTGGCCCCCGTGGTTAGGGTTCGTAACTCCTGAATCGTAGGGTTAGGGTTCGAATCCTGTGAAGGGGCATTACGTTGTGATCTTGGGCAAGTTACTTTACCCTGACTTGTCTCTCTCCACCTAGGAGTGGAAATCCACACCAGGAGAGCAAATGGGCACCAGTGTAGGTAGAGAGGCTTGTCACGAGTGATTAGTCTCACTGTGCCGGAAGTGCTTTCATGAATAGTCCTGTACTCTCTAGGGAGTTTCAATGGTTTACAGGAATGTCTCTGGGGCCAGTGAGGAAGGATAATATGGTGCAAAGATTGGTACTGAAATGTGTTGTATACGCCGTGTTGTTACTGTTACAGTTTTCCAAAAGGAAGTTATCATGAAGAGGCCACCTTACACTGCTCACGTTTGGAAAGGATTGACATAATAATGTGACAAACAGTGTGCATTTTGCGAGACTTGCCAGTTACTCAGTTTTTGTATGAAAAGAACTTGAGTATAACTTGCGAAAAACAGTTACTGACTTTCAAGGAATATCTTCCTGCTGTTACAGCACCTGATGGAAATCACATTTTCCTGCCTTTCTGGCCTCCGTAGTCTAAGCGTTTATCCATCTTCCCTCCCAATGAACTCCCACGACTACATTTCACCTTGTTACTGTTTTTATTACTATGCAGAGCTTCACTCTGGTCGATGTGATGGCCGAATCCTTCCAGCATCTGATCCCTAATTTCCAAAGCGCCTATAAAACAGTTATTGTAAGAACCAACTCTCTTACTTAATATGAAACATTGACTAATGACAGAATTATTTTCCAAGAGAAAGTGTTCCTTAGGTTTCAGGAATAACCTGTCATGAGTTTGCACACACATTCAGGCTCAAAGTAATTGGTGTTGGTTGACTGAGTGATTGTGAGCCATGGCTGGGCATTGTAGCAAATTGCGCTCTGTGACTTGGTCTCAGAGTTTTGGAAAAGCAACAACGTGATTAGAAATTGTGTAATTATTTGATCAAATGACAACCAAGGGTTGAAGTTCAGCTTTGTAGAGGACTGTGTTTGTGGTATCTTCTTGTTTTGAAAACTTGTTATTTTTAGGCCAAAATAAAACTCCACCCGGGACAAGTTCATTTTGAAAATGCTGTCACCAGGCGGTTAACAAAAAGTTTCACAAACTAGTTTTGGTCTCGTCAACTTAGAGTTAAGAGTTAAGCAATATTAGTTTGCCATTATGCTTCATTTCAATCTCCATCTACCATTTTTCTGTGAAAGGGCACCGAAGTCCCATTTTCGCAGTTCCACGACACAGAGGGTGCCGAGTGGAAAGCACAACACCAGGGAGATGGAGAGTGGATGGAAACCGACCGCGACTCTGAAGGTGCCACCCACCAGTCAACGAGACCAAGAGGGAAACGCATCAAGGCCCTGGACTACCTCTGGTTCGGCTCGGACACTCTGGTGTGCAACGGTGCCCTGGAGATGGTTGCTAGGGAAGTTTTGGAGGAGCTGTATGCCTGCCCCAATGCCGTGTTCCCCTCAGACCACCTCCTGATGAAAGCCCAGTTCCGTTTCAAGGGAGCAGTGCCCTGACAGAAGTTGTCATGAAAAGCCTGGAAAAAACCTTTAATACAACTCCATATTGAAAGTGGGTTTCCCAGAGATGTCCAAGATAACCAGAGAAACTTTGCATATACAAACTGATCTAAACTGTACTCAGGGATTTCAGTAATCGTGAAATAGCCTGATTCCAGAATTCTTGTTGAATTTATAACATATTGGCCGCACACAAGCTTTTCAACTTTTTCTGTAAACCTGACATTTCTGGGCCAAACTTAGTTCCCTTTTTAACCCTTCTATTCTTTGTTATGAAAAAAAATAACAGACATTTCCAGCAAGATTGCATATGGAGAATGGAAAAAGCTGGGCGGCAAACGCGATCCATACAACTCCTGTTTGAGTGAGATCACACAGGAAACTTGGAGCAGATTTTGGACATCACAGAATTGCAACATGTGGGCATGCACAGTGCAGTGTAGACCAAGGCCAATGAAGTCAAGAGTCAAAAATTCTTTATATACAAAAGTGAATTTATGAGTGTCTGTTACAAAAATCATTGCCCCCAACAATTTGTGTTAGTGATGGACTTACTCGACTATATCTTTTACGAAGGCTGTTAAGTAGTGTCACAGTACACAAACTTCACACTGATATGCTATTTTTGAATTTGTAACAATGTGAAGACATAAATGCATTATTCGTTTTACCTGAGACATTAGCACAAGCTATAGCACCATGGACGGCCTTGAAATCTGTTAGTGTTACGATAAGTTTGCAGTGAATGAAAAGGCCTACGTTTGCTTGTATGGGGCATGTTAATGGACACAAGGGGCTAATAGCCCTGAAACATGACCCGGCACAACAGAATGAGCATAAAGTTGCATTCTCTTTTCTTATTTTGAGGGTTCAAAGTCAAATATGGAGGTGGAGGTCGAGTTTAGTTTTTTGTAATATTTGGTAAGAGTGGCCAGTGTATTTAATTCCAAATTGTTTTGCACGATCAGATATTTAAAAACGTCATGTTCTCAGCAATTTTGATGAAAGCATTATTTGTGTCCGGTCAGAAATGTTGAAACAACATCGAAAATTAAGACGCAAAGCTGCCAGAGTAATGTCACATTGTCACCATATACTTTTACCCTAAGTGTTCCATGTACATACCACTGGAAAGCTCCCCTTCTGCTGAATTAATAAAATACCTACATCTTAATTTCTGAAAATTCTGACTTTCAGCTCATTTTGTGGGGACAAGTCACACATAATGACCTCACATTCTGTCTATGCTTCCCTGCTGTATGAGGGGACAAGACGCCCCTTGGACAGTTTATTGAGTGAAGTGTTCCGAATGCAAATGTAAGCAGAGATTGAAAGCAGATTTTTTTTAACAGACCTCTCTGAGAGACTGAAAGTATCAACAGGCTTCCATTTTTTAGGTCATTATCAACAGTGGCGGAATGATTTTCTGCAAAGTGAGTGTGTGTGTGTGTGTGCAGAGGTGTTATATATATAGTGTGGACCTCTGCACAAAAGAATTCCACATAATGTAGGGTAACGGATTGCACTGTGTGGACTCGCACACGTCTACACAATGTTTTCCCCTCTCTGAAAAACAGTTTCAGAGGCATTTTTTGGTCAAGGTTATCGTGGCAAAATGAAGAGGAACAGTCCAGGAAATCATCATCAAAAATCCAGCTCAAAGGAGTAATCCTAGTTGGAGAAAGAGGAGCATTTTTCAAGTGGCCAAAGGAGAATAAAGGAATAGCCACACTGTGTACTATGTAAAACAAGAAGTTGTGGGTGGGTGAGTTTGTTTCTGCATTCAATTGGGGACCCTGAACAATAGAGGACAATAAGGTCCCCTATTGACAGAGGGTCCCCGATTGACAACTGTGTACAAAACATACGGGTGGTCTTCTAAAAAAGTTTAAGTACAAACAAAAGAGGAACAATAGGGGGTCCCCAGTTGCAGGCAAATACACACTTGTGTGAGTTTGTTTCAATTGGGGACCCTGAACAGTAGAGGAAAATAAGGTCCCCGATTGACAACTGTGTACCCCACTGTCAGTTTTTTAAATGATGCTGAAAACATTTTAGATATAATGAATTTTAAATTGATCGTCACTGTAAATGGAATTAATTTCTAATTAACTTTGAAATTCTATTTAAAATTGTATTTTATTCTATATTCTATCTAAAATTTTATTTTTAGGTTTCTAAAATAAAGTTAACCTCGCTTTCAATTCAATATGGCCGACTTGTGAATGTGGAATTGATGAACTGCCAAGGCATGGTGAAGAGAAGGGAAAAAAGGGAAGAAATACTCCAAACCATCAAGTGTGCATGTGCTTTAAAAATTGAAATTGTTGGATTAATGGAATTTGAGAGATTTTCTTCCTTCTGTCGTGGAGGAATAAAAACATAGAATAAAAACAGATTTTAATATCAGTTTATTTTTTGTGTGGTGATAATAAATGTATGCAAAATTACTGAAAGAAAAATGTTGGAATTGAAGTAAATCAGTCATTTGTGCATCAAACACGGGCCCATCAACGTATTCACTCAATACATGCAGACACGATATTTTGCCGGCTTGTGAAATCTGAGCAGATTGCACTACTACTGCCAAGCGACAATAAAAAAGATATATTTATGTTCTTTCGAAGCTACCGTACACCTTTTGAATCAACGCATTTTATTTCATGTGTTTTGAAGCGTGGCCGGAGACCGATGGTAGTCCTTACCGTGGTACTACTACTAGTGCTGGGGCTGCTCTGTTCGGAAAAAATCACCAAACCGGATAAATTGTCTGTATCAAAATGACTCGGCATCAGAGAAATTGTACTGCAGGGACTGTTTACACATATCACGAACGGAAGAAAGACGCAGGTATGCAATTACCTAAGCTTACTGAGTTGAACTTGAATTGTTCCGAGTGGGCCATGGTGAGTGAATGTGGTCACAGAGGTCATGATGGTTCCCATATGCGGACGGCACTTGACATCCCTTGCACAAACTGTATCAGACTGGCATGACTGGTCTGAAAAATTCTAATTTTTTCCTCAGTAAACGACTTTGTATTTTCTTCATACTTGTTCATGTAGGCCTAACTTTAAACTTTTCTGGCATGTCTGGACATGTTTGCCCTTTCTGATGGCTATTACTTTTGCTGCAGGCATGGTATGTTTACATGTAAGCCTAGGGCATGTAGGGAATAATTACTGGTGTCCATGTGTGGAAATCTTCCCCTCCTATCAAACCTATCAAGTTCGCTTATGACATTTTCACAATATGCAGATTGCGGCAAGTCAGCAGTTTTTTTGTCATCTGCAGACAGTCATCACTGATCATAAAGATTGCCTGTCTGTGTCAACTTCTTTTTTCAATATTTTTGCCATTTTGCGTCCCATACAGCCCAGTCAGGCTATGGCACCAACAAGACCCGACTTGGAAAGGATTCAGTGGGTGACTTTGACTGTTGTTGCCTGACGCTGCAGCCATGTGCCAACCCGGTGATAACGTAAGCCTGGGCCTGGATATCAGAACTTGATGAGTCCCTGATAACCCTGACTGTTGATGTTCAAACTTATGGAACTGAGCATTTGTTACTACCCATTGGTAAACTTTACAAATTGGCAGTGGATATTGAACAAGAACCAGTCCAGATATGTGTTTGCTTTTTCACCAACCATTGCCAGAATTGCCACTGAGACGGTGCACTGAATGTTGTGGGGGACTTAGAAATTTTATCAGTATAGGCCTAATAGATCTTCACCTTGTAGCATGCAAACCTACATTGCCTATGTGAGTTCATTTTCATGAGGTGGAATTCAGACTTCAGGGCCTAATTTCACGATTTTATACTAACAGAGGCTCTGCGTATTTTATGGAAACCATACATGTAAGTGGTGAGCACGCAAAAGGCACGCTAAGCTTGGATGACAAATTTACTTAACATAATGACAGACCAGTGGAAATTTATCTCCATGCGTGTGCAACCATAAGCACAATCACAACAAGCGCTGGCATGGTATTGTGGTCAGCAAAATTTTCTGCTATACACGTACAGTACATGTAATAAGACGGTTTAATGCCCGCTGTGTAAAACACAATGTGCCACCAGATGACGACTAGATAGACTTGAGAATTATGCAAGACATGTACACGTACATTGCCAACCTTACAATACCTAGTGTGGACACATGAACAAAAGAGGTCCACTTGACTTACAGCTGGTTGTGGGTAAATCCAGAAATTAGGGGTCCTTTTTTTGTGTCTCTGTTGCATCTCACGTGATTTTGTAAGTTTAGAACACATTTTCTAATTTCCAAGAGTGATGAATTAATGCAGATTAACAGCCAAATAAATAGTAATACATGTAGTTTGAAATCAAATCCTGTGATATTTCAGTGTCAAATAACAAAGGTCAGATCTAACAGGGACACAAAAATGTCACACTTTTGGACCCCTAAATTCTTGAGTTACTCTTGTGTAGACCTTGTGTGGACCACGAACCATTTACTCAGGGATGTGCAACCGTGAGCGGCCCCAGTGCAAACACCTGTGCGACCTTGGTTCCATGCGTGTTACGGATTGTTATTACCCCCGCAGGCGCTCTCAACTTTCTCGAAAAAACTCGCGACCAAATGACACGCGTTGCAGCATGTACAGTGCAGCCGTGGTTATGCCTAGACGACGCGCTGACGCAGTGCTTAAGTCTATTTGTTTTGACGAATAAATCTTCTTCATTTATTGATTTCAAGGAGAAACGAAGTTTTAATGAGGCAAAATTCCCCAATTTTGTGGTACACTTTTCTCAGAATGTATAAGATGAAATATCTTGAGCAGTACATTTTTAGAAAGGGTGTACCCTGACTTAAAATATTACAAAAAAACAAAGTGGTAGACAGGAATATATTTTATATTATTAGAGAAAGTGTTAAATAATCCAATTGCTTTGATATTGTGCCGGCCGTAACACGCACTGAACCAGCTCTGAGCTTAAATTGCACATCCCTGGGTAAATGGTCCATGTGTGGACTAAGCCAGGTTTTTCCCTTTCTGGAAAATAGATTTAGAGGCATTTGGGGTAAGGATAACTGTAGCTAAAGGAAGAGAAACGGTCCAGGAAACCAACAAAAAGCCAGCTTAAAGGAGTATTCATAAGGCGTGAAAAATGAGCTTTCTTACTAAGTTTTCGTAAGGAATGTCCGCAGTAGCCAGGCTACGTAAACTCATGTGGATTTCTTGTGTCTTTACAAGACCCTTGATTAAATAGATGAAAATGTGCCTGATCCATACTTTCCTGAAAATTGTACGATGCATGAGTGTTTTTTTTTTCTGTTGCTACGCAGGGAAGAGGGCTATTTATATGACAAGGAGGCTATCATTGAATACGTACTGAAGCAGAAGCAAGAGTATGAACGTAGACTCAAGGAGTACCATCGCCAGTGTCGCCTGCATAAGGTTTGTCCAGTGTCCTCCCAACTCGCTGAAAGGCCGAGTCCAAGGCATCCTTCAGAGTAGCATCTTGTGATGTTTGGAGCCTGGACTCCACCTGTACATTCTTTCCTTTGTTAGCAAACACTGACCCTAATGATGGGGGAGGGGACGAAGATAAAGGTCATCTGTGGTTGGCAAAACCTTTGCCCGAAAGGCACATTTCCTTCATCATGTTTAAGAGTGTGGCTTGTCATAATGAGGATGACACAATAAATTTATTGACGCAGGATTTGAACCTGCAACCTCCAGAATACGTTACCGGTGCTCTACCAACTGAGCTATCCAGACCTACGTTGGCAGCTCTTCCCATTTGCCAATTATCTTTGTTCAGGGGTGCTTGTCAGAAGCCATGAAACCTGAATACCAAGTAGTGAGGGATCAATCTACAATGCAGCCTGGGAAGTGGTGATAGGTGACCGAAAGAACCTTTTCTTATATTCCCTAATTTTTCCAGATATTTACATTATTTTCAAGGAGGAAGAGAGTCAGGCCAAGAAGTCTGCAAAAGAAGAGAAGGTGAAAGCCTTCATTGAGAAAGGTAACAGGCCTTTCAGTGTGTTCAGTTTATCACAAGATTTGAAAAACAATAGACTTTGAGATTGCACGATTTTGTTTTGACTTGGATTTCATGGTAAAAAAAAATTTTAATACAAGATGGAAACTGTCAAAGAGAGGCTTTACTTTTTAAAACCTTTCAAAATGTGAGCGGGCAGATGGTGAAGCGGTTTTAAATGACTGCATTCCATATGCAGTCTGTGTTCAGATCCTTGCTTTGACACTTTTAAAACTTCTGCTGGACAGTGTGAAAAAGAAAGTAGTCCCGTTAAGTTGCCAGCATGTCATAAAAGGTGTAAACAATTGCAGACCGTATTATTTTGGCCCAAAACTTTGACTTTGAAAGAGTTGAGATACTGGGGTCAACTTTTAACATGTACTGTATACACCACAGTGGTCTTAAACAACATCTGTTCAATGTATGTACTTCTTACCCCAGCGTTGATGATAATGATCTGGGGCACCACCAGAGGGCAAAATTATTCCAATAGGCATGGTTTGACCAGCTACCTCCGTAGATTTTGAGTCTGTGCAGAGAACAGATTAGAGATTTAGGGCATGCGCAGTATTTATGCCTAACAGCGGTCCCTGTGTATGTGGACTGCTAGATGTTGTTCTCTGTGTCCTGGTGTGGGTTGGCTGAAGAACATGGTATTGCCGCGAATTTACAGTTCCACAAATTCACTTTCAGAGCGCAGCATCACGAGCAAACCCCTAAATCCCTTCACCGAGGCTCCCCCAGCCAAGAAAGCGAGAACAGAAGAACCCAAACCAGTCACGCCAACCACCAGCACCAGCAGTGGTACCAGCAATGGTGGTGACAAAGCCGAGGGCGCAACAAAAAACGGCGAGAAGAAGACCGAGCTCCCGAGCTTCTGGATTCCCTCACTGACGCCAGAGGCCAAGGCCACTGCCGTTCAGAAACCTGTAAGCTATTTGTGAAACCTTAATACTACAATTGGCCTTATTCACGAGTCAGCCATATTGAATTGAAAGCGAGGCTACGTTCTTTATTTTGGCATCTGAGAATAAAAATGAGAGCACCGACATAAAACTTCATTACAAATTAATTCCACATAGGCTGGTGAAGAATTGAAATTTGTAATTATATCAACATGTTTTAAACCACATTTGGAAAAAAATTCAAAGTGAGGCATGGACTCGAAAATAGTCTGGCAACACCCCATTTAACAGATTACTTTGAATACGATAGATTCTGGGAACACAATCATAAATGGCTTCCCTGTGAATAAGGTCTAGACTCTCTCTTGACTGGCCCCTTCTGGGTCTAGCTCAACCAAAGTGCAATAGAATTCAAGACTGGATAAGCACATACGACACAAAACACGGTAAATGGGGCCCAGTTACTTTGGCAGTGTTTCTCCCGTGGTTACAAATGTCTTCCAAGTCTTGCAACGCCCCAAAACATGGCGGTTTTCCAATACTCAACTGCGGCTCCATCTCAGGCTTCAGCTGTTGTTTTACTACCTGACTTTGAAGCTGGAGGCGCAATATTTAGTCTAATAGTGCCACAAAACATCAAATAGGATGCAAGAGAGCCAAAAATTACAGAAATCCAATTTGATTTAAATGCCTCAGGCCCACAATCGGGAACTGATTTCGGGACGAAGCCTGAGACAGAGACGAAATTGAGTATTGGAAAACGACCCATGTTATACATGTATTTGTGAATAGGCGTGCAGGCTGCAGTGTGAGTGAAACATCTGAACACTGTATGTCCTTGCAAAGTTATTATGCCTGTTTGCAGTCAAAAATGTACAGTCTGCCCTATCCATAGCCACCGTACGCAGCCATATTCCAACTCATGTACATGCCGTGTTCTCAAAAGACTTATGAAATGAAATACCAAACTGGGTCATTGTTTGCTACCAAAACAGGGCTCTTTCCCCCTCAAAAATAAAATTCAGGTACAATGGCTCCACACAGTGTAAAATTTCCCTGCTTACCCGACTTTCCTGACTCTTTCTGCTTTTGTGCTCACCTGCTTATCCCAGGTGACATAGCGCGAAAAAGTGAGCTAATCAGTGACAAAACTGGATTTCTGTTTTGGATAGTAATGATTATAAAAGTATGCGTCACATGGAAAGTGATGTCATACTCTCTATTTTTTACTCTTCTGGCTGCTGAAAGGACAAAACCGTCTTCTGTCCCATGAGCAAGAAGCCGCTGAAAGTCAAGAACTTGATCCCTGTCAGCTTCGTACGGGCCGACGACGCAAATGACAAACGGCCACTGGTGGCCAAGCAGATTCGCTACAAGTGCGCCGTCACCCACGACATTCTTTCTAACAAGACGCCCTGCGCCGTGCTCAGGCCAAGGTAAAAGAAAATGGTCTTTTCAAAACACTTCGCCCAAAGGATGTAATAGTTCCCATACGTTGAAGATGAGTGCAAAGATGAACAGAAATTTGTGTCCCAGAACTATTCCTGATATCCATGTGCGGATCATTTGGTATTATGGATATACTTTGCAATTTAATAATTAGAATCACTTGTTGAAATTAAAACCTTCCTTTCTTCATTTGCAAGATCACATTCTCAAGTCAAACGTGAGAAAATGCAAAGAAAGGTGTTACAGTGGAATGCCGCTATAACGAACACGACGGGGTCCACGCTAAATGTTCGGTACAGCAGTCGTTCGGTATAGCAAAATTAACTGCCGAACATTTCGTTGCCATGTTGAATAGCACCCTCTTTTGTCTAACTGAAGTGCACCCTCTGGTGATACTACGGTTTGCTGTTTTTGTGATGTTTTGCCGTTGCATGAACGTTTAAGGTTTCTAGAAATGTGTCTGTCAACTATTTTTGTTTTTTTATTAAATCTTAAGTTACAAAACTTATATCAAGTTTATCCTAAAAGTCGTGAAGCTACCGCTCAGGATCGATCTCTGATGCATGCTGTGGTGAATCTCGGTTGATGTGTGTATCAGCGGCGCCCTCTTCAGACTATTGTTAGTGCAATGCTACAGTGGGCGTGCGGTTTTCTTTCACACAGGATCATGCGGAGTCGCCAAACCAGTGTCCATTCAGTACCGTTGACAACAAGTGGCTTTCCCTTCAAATCCTTTGGGAAATAATGGCCACTTGTCACTTTCCAATTTAAAAAAAAAACGACTTTTTTTTCCAAGTTGACTTTCGGAAATTACAAACGGTAGCTGCATAGTGTTCGGTAGGTTTTGTACACACACATCTCTGATTAATTTTGGTGGTTGAAAAATAAAGACATCCCCACATGCCTGGAAAAAACAGCATGATGCATAAAGACTTCTAGAATCATCTAAAAAAATTTGTTTGGTAACTATGGTAACCAGGATTTTGAATATCCACAAGAGTTTTATTGGCAGCATGTTTCTGATCGTGCTGTTAAGCAATCTGTGGATTTTTATTGTCCATCTGACAGCGGGAAGGTGGTGACGTTGGATTGTGTGGAGAAGATCATCAAGAAAGACATGAGAGATCCCTTCACGGGGGACACTCTCCGAGATAGCGACATCATCAAGATCAAGCGGGTGAGTCACGCCATTGCATATCCGGTCTGACGAAACCCGGGTCATTTCCCAAGGCAAAGCAGAAGGAACCAGTTTGTCAATGTCCAATACCTTGTCGAGCTAAAATCCACTGCCCACCGATGTCGATTTCAGCTCCTCAAGGTATTTGAATAAGCATTTTGCAATTCACTTTGATGAAAATCTGGTACACTGAGTTATCTGATTGCACATAAACATGACAATTTGAATTCCCCAGACTAAAGACACTGTTGCTATTATACCCAACAAAACATGTGACAGAGGGGTACACCCTTCCTACATGTCCAATCCCTACACACACTCTAGACTCTTGTTACCTAACACATCCCTCTTGATGTCTAAAAAGAATTCCTGAGATTCTGATTAAACAACGACCAACACAAAAGGGGGGGGGGTCCATCTCATAGCTTGCTTCAGATGGTTGCTATACCTCATGATTTGGGGCAAGCTCTTGCACCTGTGGAACGGATTGGTTCCTTCATGCCCTTTTTGTCCATTGCAAACAGCATATTTGTGTGAGGTGTCTACATATGCAGCAAGGTATGAGAGGAGAGAACCCCTTTGCTTTGTGTTGGTCATTGCCTCGCAGGAATCTGGGGAATTCCTTTCACACATCTTGGGGGGATGTGTTAAGTAACAATAGTCTGGAATGTGTATAGGGATTGGACATGTTGGGGGGGTACCCCTCGGTCTCATTTCTTGCTGGGTATAGGGGTCTGTTATGTAACTAAGCAAAAGCTTGCCCCAAATCATGAAGTATACCAACAATGTCTTTAGTATGGAGAATTCACATTGTTATGCTCACATGAATTTAAAGAACTCAGTGTACCAGATTTTATCCAAATTTAACGCGCAAAAGGTTTAATGACCAACTCATGTGAAGCAAAATATGAGACAGAGAGAACCCCCTGCTTTGTGTTGGTCATTGTTCCACTGGAATCTGAGGAATTCTTTTCAGCCATCTAGGGGGATGTGTTAGATAATAATAGTCTAGAGTGTGTATATCGATTGGACATGTTGGGGGGGGGTACCCTCGGTCTCATTTCTTGCTGGATGAAGACCAACTAGTCGCCACTGCCCGATGCTCAGGGGAAGAAAAATCAGGCAGGGGCTGTTGCTTCCTGTCAGTGATCAAGTCCAACGGGCTACTAAGTTTCTCAAAATTGGGCACAAATAAAAGGTGCAATAAATTCATTTTCGGGACAACTATTTGGCATTTTTTTCTGGCTGTTTTGTTTTTTTTGTCTCTCAAAAATGAAAGCTATATAGTCTTTAGTTAATTGACATTGCCTATTCCTGAAATACCTATGCACATGAATTTGTTCAGCTGTGATCTTTGATACACATGTAGTTAAAGAAACAATTATATGTGATTCTTTTTGTGTTGTTTCCCTTTGGCTTTTCCTGTAGGGTGGAACTGGATTTGCCAGCGCGGCTGAAACATCGCTAGAGGCTCGGAAAGCACGACCGGTTATGATGGCTTCATAACCTGCCAGCATTGGCTTTATTTATGGGTCAGCCATTTTGAATCAGAAGCAAGGCAACCTGTACACATGTTCTTTTAAAAAAACTTTACGTGTGGGACCAAAGATGATGCCACAGGGGCAAATTATAGATTACAACCCTTGTGCTCCGATGGGTAGTTTCAATCGTCACTGTGCCTGATATTTTTCAAAGTGAGGCTCTACCTGTAATGATAGCAGAAATAGTCAGGCTCCTTCCACATGTAGAATGTTCAATAAACAAAGTGGATTCAGGGAGCATGATCCAGAACGACCACTGCATCTCTCGCACGAATAAAGCTTTTTTCTGAACATGCAAGGTTAAAAACACCACTGCTCTTTTGAAGGAGGCTTGAGAAAGAAACCCATCGAGCATGTGGAATTTGAACTTTTGGAGTCATTGACAGTTTCATGGAGAGTCCCTTGTGTCCTGAAAGCTTGGGAAAAACCTGATAAGAGAGTAGAATGTCTGGTATCTTGATGCGAAGATAAGCAACAGCCTGACATTTCTTGGGATGTTACTGGTTATTTAGTACTATGACCTGGAAACCAGGAATTCACCACACGCATGGCTGGGAAAACAGGAATTGGTCTTTAGATCCTGAAAATCACTCATAGAAAGTTACATAACATTTAATCGGGTGATCGCTCGGAGATCAAGCAATAGTGCAGATCGACGGATTGCACCTAATAATAACATAGCTCCATTCACTTCTACATGGCCCGGTGTAATAAAGTTTGTACATAACCTGTACCAAACAGTCTGATAAGGTGGACAGTTTTGCGTACCATTTAGAATGATTGACTTGAAATTAAAGGTATTTCATTGTCTCCTGTGCTGTTGGCCTAGCAGTTTGCCAAAGCATCAAATCCAGAAGGGTTTTCTACATTTATTATATCTATTGCCTCAGACTGGTTTTTTTTGGCTTGATTTTCGATAGGCTAGTGAAGTCTGAAAATTTTTAGTAAAATAAAAATGTTACCTTCCTTTTCCGTATAAACCATAATTTGAAACCGATAGATCGGGGCTAAAACTTAACCGAACCCCAGGTGCAAACTTCTTGTCAGAAAGTCACTACAATAGTCTTTCAATGCAAAGCCAGCGATACCCCGATACCATTTTTTAACCTATTCCAACCGACCCCACACATACCAGCCAGTTGCTATCGGGGAGTCGTCGATGGCTGTTCCACATTTCGCAACCCTACATGCCCTCAGCACTGAAGGAAGTTTTTGAGTGCACCATTTTATCATTGCCAAGTATACACGTTCACCAAATGTTTTGTATCAATCCGATTTCACTTGCAGATAACGGGATGCAGACTGCAATTTTCTGGGGCTAGTGAAATTCCGAACATAAGGGTTGGTCCTTTTGTTTTAGTGACTGCATTTTATTAAAAAGGGATGTTGTTAACCTGGCTATGTACTTCTCATATTCGTTTGTTTTAACTGTCAGTGTGCTACGTGTACCTACCAAGAAATGCGGGGGGGGGGTTGGTAAGGTGTCAACCGTTTGTGTTACAAGTTGGATGTTGTAGTCACATGGTGACAATTTTAAGCAATTGGTTTTCTTCTGCACAGCGTCGAGTGTGTTTCTCGTGTGAAATTAATGTATGATGTAATGGATATGGCGTATTAAGCAGAATATAGGCCCAATGATGGTGCAAAATAATGCTCAGGTTGCCTGATGGCAAGACGTTACAGGGCATATGGTCTGTGAAATTGGTTTTGTTAACACACGTTGGATTAACACCGAGCTTTTCACGGCCAGCCACAGTTTCACTGGTTTAAGACAACGGCGCTCTAGGCTACATGTGTGCCTCCCTTTGGGAATCGTATTTGGGGATAAAAGCAACCTTGGTCACAACTTTGAGTGGAAATTCATCCGAAATGCTTGCATATTATTTGTACGAAAACTGTCAAGCTACCACCGTTCTCTAATGAACAAAAAGTATACGTACACGGCCCTGCATACAATCTTTTACAATGAAGACCACGGCAGATGAGTCTATCAAAAGACCCAGACACAGAAAGGGGGTCATGTGACACTTGGTGGCGCTTTTTATTGCTAGAACGGCAATTCTCGTGGTTTAACGGACGCTACGGGATGGCTTTTGTCTTTTTTTCCCCATCCAAAGAGTTAGCCCTGTTTTGTGGAAGATTGATGATTTTAGGTCATCAGGTAAGAATACACAATCTCCTGAATGAAGCCCCTTTTTATCCTGACTTAGTCCACTGACTTAATGGTCACAGTTTCATAGGCCTACTTTCGACTTCTTTTCTGTCTCTTGTCGCCTAATCGCCTTGACGGCCTACACCCTCAGTCGCAGTCTTCAATAACGCACGCAAGCAATAACTCTCAACCTTCTTCCAGCCGGAACCCGTTATCGTTTAAGTAGGCCTCCCTCAAATCCTGTTTTATCAAGTTTTGTTTACCAGAGGGAAAATGAATAATGGACCTCAATGTACCACAGCCACGTGCACGTGTTGAAGAATAACCTTGTTTTTACATATTCTCAGATGAAAGCTTGGCACATTCATTTTTCGATGAGAGGGATATCCGATTCCAAGTGGTTTTCCGTTTGGTCAGAAACCCATCATACGATACCTCATTCATTTTCAGTTTGGCTGAGAGAAAGTTATAACATGCAGCAATTCCACGCCGACGCTAACAGGGACAAAGCTAAAGTGTAGCTGTAACGAATGTTTCTTAGACACAATTTTCCCTGTAACTTTGTCATCTTCTTTAAACCGTGAAAACTCTCTTCTACTTCGTTTGTGGACATTCTAGGCTACCTTACCACCCGCTTGAATTTAGTTTCTGTTGTCCTCTTTAAATTGGAGCAATCAAATTAAGCAACGTTAAAACGCACATAGTTTTTAATCTGTGTTTTTTTAAATAGTTTGTAGTAGATCTGTTTCTGAATCAAACTTTATTGTTATGCCACGGTCATAGATAGTGAATTTTTATAGGTCGTCTCGAGTGCCATCTGTCCCCTCGGGTGTACAAAACACCATGGACTCCTACACCGCAGGCAACAATTGTTAACTGTTCGATTTCAATCTGATTTGGCTTGTCAGAAGTGTTATCTTTTTTTTCCACTTGAAGTTTCTGTATGGCATCATGCCCTGTGATCGCCGTCTCAATGAGTAATTCCTTGTATTAATTATAAAGTTACAGCTCAATTGATCTGTCTGTGATACAGTCTACACGTGCTTTTCATTCTTCTTTAATTTACTCTGAGCAACCATTCTGCCTTACTTTTCACAAAGGATGGAAGAACGGCAGTTGCATCGTTTTAACCTGAAAACATTTTAAGCACATTTTTAACAGATCCTTTTCTGTTTCCTCCCTTCGAAAAATCGACTTTTGCATTGGCATTTATAGGAATTGGAAAGCAGATACCTCAGAAAACGACCTTGAATGTAACCGTGACTGTGAAGCACGCTTGTGAAATATTTCAATTATTACAAAAGTTAAAGTTTGAAGTATGCAAAATAAGATTCGATTCTTGATCGACCTCTTTCTGTAGCCTTCGACAAAATCGGCATAAAAGAAGCCACTCCTTAGCATGAACTTTTTACTATCGAAACACAGTTCAACTAGCCGCAACTGCTTGGATGTTCGAATGTTGATATAAGGGGCTTTCTTGTAAAGAGAATTTAAATGGATCTGTTAGCCTAGACCTATACGCAAAATCATATTGAAATCGAAGTACTGCTAGGGTTAATAAACTGAAGGATATTTTTGACAAAGTAAATGCCTGGAAATTCCATACATTTCCCTTTTCGTTTCACCCCAATTATTGTGAGACGTTATTTTGTACATTGAATCATCTCGTGTCGAGATAGCGATTAAATAGATTAACCATGAACACTGCACAGGAAGTAGTGATCCGCACGGTTTATCCGCAATGCTCTTGACTACGTCCCATTCATGCATGACATAACAGAAAGTTACATGACAAAGACGTTCCGCTGCCGAGACATATCTGTCTGTAAGAATAAGTGTGAATGGGGATCGTATGAAATTGAACGATGTTGGCGACAGGTTTGTACGAAAAGCATTATGTATTGCCCGTATGAGTTCCCCCGAATCTCATTTCAGGTCCGACAATTCCAAACCAGCTTAATCAAAAACGAAAACAGGACAGTAGTGTACAACTGTTTTTACTGTTCCTATGGTAACAGTCATCCACGCTCTTTTTGAAGCATCTCCGTTACTCTATAACTGTTGTGTATATCAGACCTAATACAAAAATGTTATTTCACCTTCCAGTTGAAACGCATAAGACTAATAACCCTTTGGGGCATCTAACCCCCGACGCCGATCGATCATGACAAACTCGAGGGTTTGTTTTTGAGGTTTTGTAACACAACTTAAACATCTTATCCAAACAATTTCATAAAAGTATACTAAAACATAACTTTTACATCTTTGTAAGATAGGAAAACGAACTGTGCCGTGCGTGGTGCACTGCGAATGCCACCTTCAGCTTTCCAACGCCCTTAAGTAGCCACACCCTGCAACATGCTTCGCCGCACGTACTTCCATTATCTGTGTCCTTTCTCTAGGCAACAACCAACATTCCAGCTTAATACGGTATCTCACACTTACCACGAGATAGTTCTTTTTCTGCTTTACAGACCCAAGAGAATTTGGAATTATGCGATACTGCTTGCGGTGGCGGCGGTGGGGGGTGTGAGTGCCCCCCACTATTTCGACTGGGGGGCCTACCCCCCACTTTTTGAAGGTCCTTTAATTGGGTGGGGCTCAATGGATCAACTTAGTACCTATAAGGCGGATGCCTGATGGGCTAACAACTGGCCTCTCACTTTGAAAATTGTTCCACCGCCGGTGATTGCTTGTGTATCAAATTATCTCTTGTTGATATCGCGTATTCCTGAATAATATTATATTATACCGTGATGTTAACGGTATTGACCGTGAACATCCCACATATCTGGAGCAACAGTGAAAATGGGTCCACAAACTGACATGGAGTTACTGTTTTTATAAATAGCTAGCTCTATGGTTGGTACACCTGACGAAAAAAAATCCACGGCAGCGTTACTCTAGTGAGACATCCGGTCGGAACATTATATAGCCGATAGCATGCCCTTTGTCTACGGGTAAGTTGCCAAGGGCAAGTTCCCGTATACGGGTCTCGGAGTCTCGTAAAAATGAAACGCTGCGTTGTCAACAGCACAAGCCAGGCATCTTTTTACACGACAGGAAAAAAAATCAATTTCTTGCGAAGTTCATATATCTCAATCACTATACCAGAGGCCCAAAAAACTTCACAGTCACACCATGGTAACACGCAGTCTCGGGTATAGTCTGGTTCCCAGTTCAAAAGATACAGACTACTTCGAGATGGTCTAGTAGCTGCCACGAGCGCGCCACTAAAGAGGGAATTCCTCTCGTTTGCGATTTTTTGGCCGAAATTTTTGAATAGTGCTGACAACGTCCGGAAAAAGTGGGCCAGTAGATTTCCTAAAACATGCATTTCAATTCAAAAAAGGTTTCTCGATATTTCTCCGCATACCAACAACTTCATGTTGGCTTCACAAATAGGGTATGCACGGCACCTAAATTTAAACATAGAAGGAACGTCACTATACTAACAGCCTCTCTTGTGTAGGATTAAGGAAGAGGGACGAAAGGAGGTAAGTTTGTTTGTTGTCCTTTTGTAAGGCGTTGAAAGGCCAACGGATGAAAAATTTCGACTTTCAGTAAAAAAAAACTTTTTGGTATCCCCTGATCCCTACTCGGCCAAAAACCAAACCCTACTTAAGGCGAAAACAACAAAAACCAACGGCGGCCTCCGTATTTTGTGCCCATTCGGTTGGATCACTATTACTCATGCTCGACCGAACCCGTGACGTGAGAATACCCGTGCTCGATGCATGAAGACACCCAAGCAGCGCCATGAACGAATCCCACACTTTAAGTCAAACCCACGATCTAAACAATTGCTAGGCACCAATCCTAAATCTTAGGTTTAGGCCTATGCCATACACTGCTCCAGTGGCGAGGCTAAGAGCAGGAGCGTAGCGTCGCAAAACAGTGGCCTGCCTACATACACGATGAACATGAACACGCACATGAACTTAATAAAACCTAATAAAATAATCATGTTACACTTCCTGTCTCTGAGCCGTGATTTCAAACCTGACCAGCTCCTGAGGGTTTTTTGTCATACAAGATACCCGAACACTTGACAGAAAAGCCAACTGCAGTCAATAGGCCAGTCATCGAGAAAAATCAAACAATTTTTTTATTTGCAATATTCACAACATTTTATAATATATATATATTTTCAGAGGAAACAAACACGACAGAAAGTTTAACTTCGAACAGCTTGAATCCTTCCAAAGTCTCCCCAAACGTGTATATATATATATACGCGTATTTCTTTATAGAAAAAGTATTTAGTATTTATTTCAATAATTACATTCAGGTTACACACACAAGTACAACTGATGATTAATATTTATATTTAGTATTTGTTCAGTTTGGCCGCCCGCAACATTATTTCGAACATAATTCCTCGCATCTTAACATCAACTATAGAGAGAATCTGGGCCAAGTCCTTGAATAACTGGCTACACTTTTCATATCAGATTACCACAATTCATCGTAATCTTGCCCCTAAGAGACCCACAAACTCTGAACTGCACTGGCTGATTAGTGATGTAGCCCGGTAGGAAAACGAGCATGCGGTGTAAAGACGCTTATTCTTGACTTGAAAAGAGCCACTTAAAGAAAATCCCTTCCCAAAATAAACACAAAATTTCCACAAAAACAAAAGTTGTTCCGGACGGGACCTGACTATAGGAAACGACCAAGACAAACAACTTAGCAATAACGAGCAGTAGCCATGAAATTTGCAGTTAAATGCATTTGCATTTTCTGGCATGTTTTGCTGGAGGCACCCCATTTGTTTAATGTTGCGAGTAGCTTTCTAAAAAATACCATACGTTAAACAATAATATGGATGTACAACTGACGTACAGTCATGTATGTCACATGCAAATGTTACATTACAAATGTTACGACTCTAAAACAAAGGTATGGATTAAAGTAACGTACCCCCCCTAGTAAAGCTGTGGCAGAGGGGGAGAAACACTCACACACACATAAGTGTGTATTTGCCTGCAACTGGGGACCCCCTATTGTTCCTCTTTTGTTTGTACTCTAACTNTCCTCAATTGTTCTGGGTCCCAATTGAATGCAGAAACAAACTCACACACACCAAACACCCCCTCCCCAAGAATAAAACACAGCAACATTAAACAATAACCACCCCTCCCCACAAACCTCCCAAAACTGAAAAGATAAGAAAAAAAATCCCCTAACACTGAACAATGAATACTTCTCTATTAAAAATGCAACAATGCATTAACTTGGCTTGAAACAAAATCTTAATTTGAAGATCATGCAGAACTTTATACCTTTGGCTTGGATCTGACAAATAAACCACTTACATGGATACCTCATGCAAATAACAAACGTCACCACTGCCATGTTGAAACATTCCTAAAAGATATCACAGACTCTAACTTCACAAAAAGTCGTCAAGTATCATGAACTCGACATTGGCACAACGCATGGGCACTGTGCAGCCTACTGAAGACAGCTATGAAAAGGTTCCATCAAGAACCACATCAACGAACTCCACTCACTGGCCCAATCTCAATTTACCCATCGTCCATTCTGCATGGACAAAATAACATTTCGAAGAATATCCTGACACAAACTGACATCACTCAAGTCTTACCGAGTACATTACATTAAAATTGGTAATGGACGAGCCCAGACACCTGGTAATATCTTTTTTCCAGATGTGCATTGTGAAGGAACTACCAGCCCGAAAATGAAGACAAAAAATCAAAGGTTGGCTTCTGAATTGAACACATTTGTTAACCCATTGTGGGTTGTTTCAGTTTCATTTTTGTTTACATGGCGAATTGGCACAGAGCTGTTTGGTAAAACAAATCGATTGAAATGTGCCAGTGAAAATTACTGTTACAAATTATACATGTACAGTCAAGGGCATATCCTCTGGGAGCGTATTTCAGATTTCAAAAGATGCTCCAAACATGTATTTGTGTAATAATTACAAACGCTGAGAAAAAAGCAGCATATAATCTGGAAGATGAAAAAAATGTTTTGAACATTTTGAACGATAGAAAATACATGAAGTATGATCAACTTCCAATATAGATACACACACAATCATGTCTTCTGACAAGCCTTAGCGGCAAAGTCCTCAATCCTCGAATGGTTGGAAGGTTTGAGGACTGTTAGGGAGAATAACACATGACAACCAATTGCCACAGTTTCTGAACTGGTCCATTTTGCCCGGAGCGTCGAATGGCAACAATAGTCACGACCGCTTTGAGTAGGTTCGGTGAGTTCATTGCACGCCTGTTGCTATGGTTATGAGCACAAGAGGTGTATGCCTTCGAGTTAAAGACGTGCAAATTTCCAGGCACATATGTACGTTTATGTGTATGTACGTGTGCTACGTTGCCATCGGACCAGTTTTGTTGAATTGCAGAGTCTGACTTCAGTTGCAATGTTTTGACTTTAGACTTCCAAAAGATAATGACTTGAGACTCGACGTGGAAGAAAACAACTCGGGTCTTGGCTTGAACAAATCTGACTTGTTGAATACAAGAAACAAAATGTATCTGTGACTTTCTACATGCAAAAGAAAACCTCTTTGGTTTCATTACATGCAGCCACTTCTTCTTTAACTTTCAAATGTCACTATATTACCATGTAAAAAATTACATTGACCTGTTTCACTTAGCATCATTAGTCACATAATCGGTACAGTAAATCAGTCTCAGCAGAAAGTGTGTTCCATGCCAATTATGACATGAGACGGGTGAAGAAATAAAAAAAAGAAATGGAGACTCAATATGGGAAAAACTGGCGTGTGATATGACTCTAGGAAAAATGATGTGCAACTTGACTTGAAGAAAATGACTTGGTCACAACGCTGCAGTAACGTACACAGATGTGTGGGAAGTAAAAGTGAACACAGAAAAAAATCAGAAAGGGAGAAAAATATCAAAATGCACATGCTCATAAATGTGCAGCTTGTTCAAAACATTGTTTATGGGATCCCGGTTTACAAAAACTTAAGCTCTACACTAAATACAAATTACAAGTACATGTAGTCCACATGCACATTTTATGTAGGTTATGTTTCACAGACAAGAAAAATAGTCACTTTGCGCTAGAAAAATGTCATTCCTGAAGTATGGTTCACATTACAAGAAATGTTGATATACCCTGTTTTTATATACAAAGCGACATCATTGTAACAAAATCAACACAGATCTACATGGTACATGTGGCTCAGCCTCCGTTCTTGTGTTTCATCCCCTGGCCGAAATATAATGACAACCTTCAGGGCTACTGGATTTCCATGAAAATTTCAGCTTTGTAAATGTACATTACAAATTACAAAAAAATATATGATTTGTATGGGATTTCCCAGATACGTTTTTTAATGGAAAAACACATTAATTTCAGTTGTTTTTGGAGTTTCAATCACTGTTTCTGTGAGACAAAAAAAAACGGTGCACGCCATTAAATATAACTGATTTGTTTCTCTTTCAATACAAAATTTCAAAATAAGTCCTGCACGCAGATGTAACACTAAAATGTCTGTACAGTTTACATGGCAATTTTACTCTTCGGTTATTTCAGATTATTAAATTTGTACAACCCAGAATGGTCTGAAACTATGTACACAAGGAGAAAAAAGGAGAGCAAAGGAAAAAAATCCCACAAATTGGACCGGGGAATTTCAGGTATTTTTTTCGGATTTCTTGAAGAGGTCCGATGGCAAGTATTGAACAGAGGGCAGCCACAGTCCTGGACCAAAGACTTAGGCTGGGGTTCGGGGTAGGGTTGGTTGGACTTTATTCTGGAACAAGTCTCAAGACTCAATGGACAGCTGAAAAAGCCCTGCAAGTTTTACGTCTCCGGAAACGCCCAGGGTTCCTGCATCTAAAGGACAATTATATTCCATGACTTTTTCATAACCAAATTATGAAAATCCATGACCCAATGCAATTTCTTGGACTATTCGGCCTTTTAGGTTGCAAATACAATCTCAGATTTTATGTGCTTATTTTTGATAATAGAAATCACACAGTGTTTTATGATTTCCAAGACAAACTTCCATGACTTTGGTCATTTTTCCAAATTCCATGACTTTTCCAAGCCTGAAAAAGGAAAAACAAATTTCCATGATTTTTCCAGGCCACAGCAACCCTGAAAACCAAATGTCAAGGTTCATTTTCACCCTCCCCTCTCCAGCATTCCCCCCCCCCCCGAAAAAAAACTACGCCTGACAATAACAGGCAGCATATTTAGCAATATCGTCAAACACCTATCACAGCCCTTGGCTTTGGAAGCACAAGTTTAGGTCTAGGAACCAGTCACCATTGTAAATCACAATCTCTTGTAATTTGCAAACTTCATAAAGCACTTCACTGCATCAGTACCTGAACATGTATTACAAGTGTACAAAAGACAGTAAACTGGGCCTGTTCACATTGGCAATGTTTCCCCTATGGTTATAAATTCATTACATTTTATCAAATTTATAATAATTTATGACCAAAAAAATTCACATCGGTGAAGAAGAAGTAGGCTTCGGCTAGTGCTCTTTGACAGTTGTTATTCCCATGTGCAGTTTAGAATGACATCAATATGGACACTAATTTTTATTTCAATACAGAAATCACCCTCTGGTCTCAATCCAATTACAGCCTTTGCACTAATGCGCATGAAGAACAGGTTGTGGAGTGCTCAAGACATGACAACAATGTGAGACCATGGGGGAAACACTGTTAACATGATGGTCACTTACTGGCCCCCTTTACTGTGTGTTACACATCTCTGTGTAGCAAGACACCTTGCTTACACCCACAGCAACTATACAGGCCACTGGTAGGTTTTAGTCTCTTGGGGTATGCATGATGTGATGTCTTCACACCCTTGCTGGGTGGAACTTGTTTGAACAGTGGCACACGTCAATGCTCTCGTGTGCGGCCAACACAGGCATACAGAGTGAACGTGCACCAGTTGAGGCAGTGAGCTACTCACAGGGCTGTGCATATCCATAATTCCTTAACGCAACATTCGGGAGAGCGATTGACCCTTACTGGCGCTGTCATTAAAGGCAGTGAAGACGAGCACACCAGTGCACATAATTCTGAATATGGTGGACCAACGACTTTAATACTTGACTTAAATTGAGGCTATCAAATGGGAAGGATGAAGGATTTCCACAATCCTAGAGATAGTTGATCCTGGAAATTTAACACTTGGTGGGTACTGTCACGTACAGGTGTACGCTAACGTGCCTTACCCTTACATGAAAACGGTGCATTGAAAGGTCTTCTACTTGTTTTCCCTTTTGCAGTTCTACTTGACAGGCTTCAACGGTTAGTTTAAAACTCAACTTCAACATCTGCATTCTTGGAGGGGGGGGGAGGTTTCTTTAAACCAAAATGTGCGGGACTGTCTATGGTCATCTCCCTCTTTTGGTCAAATAGGGGGATATACATGTATTCTCTCCTCCAACAACTGTGTTACACCTCTGCTTGGGTACCGGTCATCTTCCCCTGAATGTGTACTGCAGATGTGACTATGTACCAGACACTAAACAGTGGACTGCAACACAGAAGGCTGAGCTTACTAGACTGTGGCAAAAACTGGTGTTTGGCACAGTGTTAATCATGTACAGCTCATACACAGACTGTATGGAGCCAGTCAGGAGCAAATACAGGATGCTCACTGTAGCCAAGTTCAAATAAGTTGTGTCGAACCCCCCATCCCCCCAAATTCAAGACTTATACTTGCTTGACTGGGGAAACACTTGAAAATGCTTCAAGTGCTTTGTTGAAACCAGGACCGGTACTTTTTAATACTGTTTTGCATCTGGAATTCTCAGCCCTGATCAATCGTTTCCACAGGCCAAAAGAGTTTTTTCCAAAGTTAGCTCCAGCCAGCAGATATAACATGATCGCCCTGGACGCCAGTGGCCAGCTACGCCTCCTCTTCTAAGTCACTACCGGCCCCATACGGCACTTTCAAACGCAGCCTCAACACCACTTCTCCCCCATCTCTTTCCCTGACCTCTGACCTTGTCAGATCAGGACTTGAATGACCCCTGAATTCCAAGTAGGCTCCCCTCTGGTAACTAAGGTTCTGCGACCCTTGCCACTGCATCAACCTCTGATGTACTATCCATCCCTCAAGTACTTTTCTGCGAGGACCTTCCGATCACAGTGGTAACCACCTCTGACCCCCCGTTTCTTCAGCGAGCAACCCTAGTCACTCTTTCTCTGCCATTAATTTTCTCCTGAACTCCTCACCTACGACCTTACCCCCCCTTCTGTGTTTCCATGACAACCTCCTGGGCACACCTGTCAGCACCTCCTCCCGGAGTCATCTTTGCCGGTCTCCGACCGACGACCCCTCCGGCTGATGCCATTCAGTCCGATCAGTGCAATCTGCTCCAGGTCCGCCTGCTTGCATTTGTCCCACATCATCTCCCCCTCCCTCCCTTTGAGCAACGCCTCCCCCTTGCCTGCGGCCTCATCCTCGATCTCCTTCTTAATGTGGGGGAGGCCGCCGGGCTCCTTGTCCTCGGACCCACTGTCCTCGGACCCCTCGTCCTCAGACCTGCCATCCTCGGGGCTGTCTCTCTGTATCCGGGTGATGCCCAGGTCGTACACCTCCTTGTACAGGGCAGGGATGGGCAGGTCGGAGCTGCCCACGCCCACCTGCAACTTCATGATGAACTGGGTGTGGAGGTTGTCCACCGTGCGCAGCTCGGGCAGGCGCAGGAGGATCTTGGCAAACATATGGGGGTCGGAACGATGATTGCGCTGGACCTCCAGCTTGAGGGCCATCAGGAGCTTGGTCTGCATGGCAGCGACGGCCTTGCGATCAATCAGGTTCTCCCGATCTGCAAGCCAAATGTGTACAAACAAAACAAAAATATAATGCTATTCAATTTCAGGTTTCTCCTCTACAAACATAATTATAATTGATGCACACTGTCAGGAAAAGTGACGTCTGAGAAAAATTTCACCAGCTTACTGATGTCCTCAAACTCTCAAACCCTGTTTTTGTTTTTTGTATGGTACAGGAATAATACGATGTCTTAAAGCTACATGCATCAAACTTGCTTAACTGACTGGAATCCTGCTACTGCGTCAATTTAATGGGTTTTAAATGAGGTGCGGTTGAGTAGTATGTACAACAAAGAGTCCCCCTATACATGTACTATGTATACTATACATGTTGGTTGGTTGGTATGCTCGTCGGTGGTTTTGTTGATCGCTTGA